GTAATGGCCCTATGTCTTGAATTTTTAAATATTTATCCTTAGTCAAGATCCCGATCTATGTGGAGGACCCCTAATTCTTTCTTCATACGAAACATATTTTTAAACCATAAAACATATTAATAAAAACAACCCAGGGGGGTTTCACCAAAAATTTGCTCCAGGCTATTTTCAGACGGGGGAGGTTTTAGTGGGTATTACTGGCTTTTCTAGCCGGTGAGTCCCACATAACCATCTGTATGTCTATTCGTGGTGCGCGTAAATGGAATTCTCAACATTTAAACAAGGAGTTGATAGATACCGTCGTAGTGGGAGTTAACAGGTAGAAATCGTCACGTAACGAAAAAGCGTTACGAGACGTTCGGTTCCGTCCGGCGTAGTTCGGATGTCGTCAAGCGCTGGCCGTCATACTTGTTTATATCACGTGTTAGTTAAAAGTGCTCGATGGTATACTCCTGTTAAATAAAATTGTGTTTCAGTGACTAATAATTTTATTAAAAGTGAATTATATTATCTAAGTTTTGTAATGAAGATTTAAGAAATGGAAACTGCAGCAAGTATGTGTAATACAAACGAAAAGTAATATAATAAAATTTTCTATTTATTATATAAAATAAGGTCTTTACTGTTTAACGTTATTTGAGTAAATTGTTGATAAAAATGAAATTTTTGTTAATTATTTACTATTTATATAGACTTAAGTTTTCCGTGCCTCTAAGGCTTCTCATGCCTAAGTATTGTATCCGTGGAGTGTGCCAATAGACACTCTATATCAAATTACATTCGGAATTGAAGGAAAGGTGTGAGGAACTTCGTTCCTAACGGGGGTCCCCCGACCGCTTATGTAATTTACTTTTTATAATTTATATTTTGTATTTTTAGGCGTGCCAGTTGGGCACACTTTATGATGATTTTAACTTTTTTAAATTGTCTATTTGCGTAAATTTTGTGTGGGTGGAATCGTTAAGAGGCTGGAGCCGAAATGTTTAACAGGTTACATGATAATATTACCGGAGAGTTAAATGAAGGAAACATCCACTTACAACGTCCAGTGGCGTGCGTAATAAGGTAATGCGCTCGTTTACCAGATATTGTGTAGTCATTAACAATCGAATTACATGCCGTCTGGAAATAAATTAACCTTCAATAGCTTTGTGAATGTTTATTATAAACAAATAAGTTTACTGAGCAAATAATAATAATCAAACGGTTTGTATTTTTTTATAAGTTGGCTTAATAAAAGGTTATTCTGTGTAATTTGGATGGTCGTGTGGAACTTGTGTTTAAGTTTGTGTGTATTTTATCCGCTATTTTATATATTGCAAATCAATTCTTTTCATATCTATCAAAATAAAATTCATATAAATTTCATAAAAAATATTTTTGTATTATATGATAATGATGATGTTCTCCTGACCGATTCCAGCCACGGCGGCCAATCTCATTAAGACTAGCCAACTGCGCAGGAGATATTATAGTGCACAAGTGTACGCGCAGACACTAGTGCACTCTCTATCCCTGTCACTTTCATATTCTGGTTGGATGACCACTCGACACGACCAGTAAGAGTTAAGGCGCAGGACCGACGGCTTTACGTGCTTTCCGAGGCACGGGGGTGAAACACCGCCATCTTCCTAACTCCGGGCTGTTACTGAGGCTTAATATACAGAAAGACTCAATAACTAAACTTGGCCCGACCCCGGACTCGAACCCAGGACCTCCGGGTGTGCAGCCGTACATGCTAGCTACTACACCACCGAGGCAGTTGTATTATATACTATTCCGTGAAATGCGCACATCGATTTGACTAAGTTACTTTCATTATATGATAAGAACAGGTATTGCGAGTGTACCCCAGGAGATAGACATATACCATTGCAGACTTGTATTGTAGGCCTTTTCAAGACCTAAAATTTTTTAGTACATTGTTTTGATGTACCTATGTCTTAAGATTTACGACGACGCGAGAAAACCAGTTATTGTGTTTTCCCGTGGGAAAGAAACATTTTATCAAGTCAAGTCTGAAGTAAAAGGTATCCTAAATGTAGACCGGAGTAATAAGTTATCACTTCACTAAATTTCGTTGAAATCGGTTCCTTACTTTTTGCGTGAAACACGCACAAACAAACAGACACACAGACATATAGACAAACAGACAAAATTTTAATAACTCTTGTTTTGTGGTCTATATTGTGTACCTAAAACGTTACTATCAACGGAAATAGAAACACTTGCAAAGTTTCAAGATAATATGACAATAAGAAGTTGGTAAAATTTTCATTAGCTATTTTTCCACCCTTAGGGATGGTATTTTTTCAAATTTAAATGGAACCAAATTGGAAGTATGCGTTTTCAAACAAAACAAAAATTGTCCAAATTGGTTGATAAATAACGGAGTTCTGAGGTAACAAACATGAAAAGAATACAGCAGAATTGAGAACCTCCTCTTCTTTTTGAAGAAGTCGGTTGAAAAAATTAAGAATATTAATTTTGATTTAGTTTGCTATAATTTAAAATCAAAATATTAAGCAACACTATTGCTATATTTACATATAAACGTATTCACTTTATAACGTCCCACTGCCGGGCACGGGCCTCCCTTCAGTAAGAGGGCAATGCGGCCATAGTCCACCACACTGACCAAGTGCGGGTTGGCGGACTTCACATGTCGTTTGAAAACTTGCTAGGTTTTCTCAGACATGGAGGTTTGCTCACGATGTTTTCTTTTACCGTTAAGATAAGTGGTAATCATGTTGGAAAGGATTCGCACATGAAAATATCAGAAGTGCGAGGCCCGGGATTTGAACTCGTTTCACTCGGTTTCCCAAGCGAGTGATTTACCACTGATCTACCACTACCTTATATTTATAAATGAAAAATATTAATTTGAATTACTGTTATTTTGATCTACAGAAGAAGAACTAACTATATCTGTCTGTTACATACTAAAATCTAATGATAGCAAAAGTACACGTGTACTTTTGTTATGAGATTTTATTACGTTAATTACTGTATCCCACGACGATTGAAGTTTGAATGTTTTTTAATTTCAATAGCTGCGCGGATCATCTTGGGGCGATAACGCGCTATTTTCGCGAGGATGTGTATCAAAACAAATGTAGTGGCTTGGGCGATCCTGACCATGTGCACAGACCACGGACTTTTATTGCGAAGGTGCTTCTTCATCAGCTATGTGTTCCTTGACTCTAGTTCTAATCTCTTTTTCTTTGTCCGATGTAGGGGAGACAACAGATTGCATAAGAGTTTACATGTACATAAATATTTAACTTTGAGTTTCATAATCTCTATTTAGTTGGATAAGAATTAATATCAGGATACGAATGTCATCATCTTTCGATTTTACCCGTGTTTTAATTAACTAATTTAAACATAAAGCGATTGTTGTAACTTAACTATAAAAGTTAGACATATAAACTCGTGGACTTTACTGTGAGTAATGATAATTACATTACAAACAAATATACAAAAAATGAAATCTTAGTTTAGATTACGTCGAAGAGCAAAAAAAAGTTTGTTTGTTTGATTTGTTGATTAGATATCTCGTACCCACTTCTGCCTTACGTATTTATTTAAGTGAAAAATTTCCTTATGGCCTTGAGTTGAATATATGTTTTGCCATTTTAAAGAAAACATAACATCCAATTATTTTATTACACAAATAATGTTAAGTAAACAGTAAATTACTTTCAGTTACTTTCCAAGTACATAAGTGGTTTATATTATTGTAGCGTGTTGTTTACTGAGCGATTTGATAGATATTTCAAACTTTTTAAATAATAATAATAATAAGGGAGCCCAAGAGGGGATTTTTGGAGTTACTCAAGCGCGGCAGATTAACATAAGGGGGGATACCTTGTACGCTGTTGAGTACCTACACCATAATATAAGGGCGCGCGTCTAGGGCAGCCGATCAAAATATTAAAAAAATATTTTGATAAGGTAGAAGTACTTGAAAGCGTCAGATTAAGATATGTTGGGCTAATTGCATCCTGAAAAGTATGCAAATCAATAATCTGTCGATTTCCACAAACCAAAGAGGCAAAAATCGTACATAAACTCGATTTATATAGTAATTACTAGTTCATAAAGTCGATTTATATAGTATGATAAAAAAACAACCTTTTTAACGTCTATCGTTTTAAAGTTACATTAATAAGCTTAATTAAGGAAAATCCTACTGAGGTGTGTCATGTTTTGTATGAGCCGAGTACATACAAAAAATACCATTCAACATAGATAAAAATAATTGTAGTGTAAACTGTAAATGGCTTTTTATTAAAAGATATGTAGAAAAATAGCTTTAGGAGGACAATCCTGTGAACAAAGCGAGGAAAAGTGTTGAAACTGTAATATACGGAATTTTGTGTCTATAGTGTTAGATTATTATAGCACGTCACACAATCACTGATTGTGACAAAATGTAAAGACCACCAAGACTTCTTGTTAAAGTTTCTGATTATAATGTCTCTACGCCCGAAGTCTTGATTTCGAATTCAACTCAATATTTACGTGTATATAAAGCGAATATTTTTATTCGTCATAAATTAATATTTGTCAAATATCTTGAGTGTTATGTGTATGTGCTACAGCGGCCATTCACGTTAGAGAGTGTTTGTCCAGTTAAAATGTCCGTGCAAATACATACACTGAAAATGTACAGGTGAGCTTGATTTCTAAGGATACTTCATCACCTTAGAAATCGAGCTTACCTGTGCAGTTCCATTAGAGAAGAACTACGTTAACCTGTATAGCCACCCTTACGAATAAAGACACATGGCAATCTTAGTTATTAAGATTTTTGATAATTGTATAAGAATTATTTAATACATAAAGGTAGCACGTTATTATTACTATTATTAGTCATTTTTCATTTTAAAACAATTTTTTGAACTGGTGGATAAAAATATTAAATATTTTTTAATTTTGTTACCTCTTTATTTAATGCATGTTAAATAAAGTTTGTATTTTTGTTTCAGATAACCATGAAAACTAAAGAAAAAGTGGACATCAGCCACATCAGTGGGAATAGTGTCGTTAATGACAGGTAAGTTAGAATTTATCCATATATATAGGTATATACCTACTCGTAGTTAAATAGTTAACTTGTAGTTAAAGTTATAAAAAAGTAGTTAAGCGATATTTGATGTAGTTTTTAATTAGTTTACATAAAGTCATTCGTTGTAGGTTAAATTTAATAACTATTAACAAATATACTTAACTATTAACGATTTTTTTCATTTCTCCACTTTAAGTCTTTGTATCGGTTAGATACTGCTATTTATATTTACGTAGCTAACTAAAACTGAATTAATAAATATTTCAATAAATGAAATTGTTCTTTAGAATACATAATATGTGTACTATGCCAATGACAGTTACTTTGAATAAGCCTCATTGTCCAGTTGTATATTAATTTTAAGATATTTTAATAGTTGCGATTATATATTATATATAAATGTATTCCTAGTTGTATAACAGTCTACATATTCCAGGTCATATTCCATTTGTGTGCTAAATAAAAATAAATTTCATCCAAATTTGTCTAACCATTTTAACATTAAAGAGTAAAAAACATAGATACACATACAAACTTTCGCATTTATAATAATAGTCCGATTATCCTCTAAAGATTTTTTCAATAAGTATCTATATTGTAGTTTACTGAATGCGATAGTTATACATAATCTTCAGTAAATTGTCATCATTATAAAAACAAGGTCACAATTTATAATGTTTACCTTTAATGCTAAATGAGAGTTTCTATGTAAACTATAAAGATCTAGATAGAGCCTTCGCTCGTGTTTCATATGCTGGTAGTTCCCAATTTGTAATCTCTTGTATGGGAACTACTATTTTTTCGTAACCAATAATTATTTTAATAACTAAAGGTTTTAAAATCCCTTTATAACTAACTATACTGCCCTGATAATTTTATGCCACAAAAAGCGGATCTTTTTCATGAAATTTACTCAGGCGGTCAATTGACGGTGTTAAGCTATTCTTAAAAAAATATTTACATAAATAAAAACCCAACTGCGTAAAAATGGAACTAAAAACATGACAACAAGTTGACGAAGGAACATAGTATTATGCAGTCTTCTATTGAAAAATTGGAAGGTCTTTTCGTCTAAATCATATGATTCGTATGTGCAGTATTAAATAAACAATTTTGAGCGAAAGTAGAAGCCACGGCCCGTGAGTGATACCAAAATGGGTTAAGCTAACCACTGTGTCACGTCATGGTTAACTATTGTTATAGGTAACCTTAAAATGACAATTGATTGGCAGATGGCTATTATTCTCAACTTGACACAGGCATAGCGAGTAAGTGAAGCATGGAATGTTTTTGTGATAATAAATATTTATTTATTTTTCTTTTAGGCAATAGCTTGATGTAAGTGACAAATTGAGCTAACATTTACTTATTATACACACAGCATTGGTTTATTTCTTAATATTCGGTAGGTACATTGTTAAAGCGAAATTTCTTTAGGGTTTAACAGGGTTAAAAAAGGATTGGCGTTACAATTTTTGTAACGGAAACGGTTACGTATGAATATTTCAAAGAATAAATTAAATAAAAACAGATATTTATAAAAATAAACTTGTTTCGTTTATTTTTAAATTATGGAACCATATCAAATGAATAAATTGTTAAAATTATTTACTTAAAATATTTTTTTATACATTTCATACATTCAGATAGATCAGATATTTTGTAAGCTATGGCGCAATAGCCACTCCCAGCCATGACGGCCGTTTAAGCAAATCCTTTATGGCATGGTAGGTACCACTTTCTATAATACTATGTATATAGTTATCACCTAAATCCTAATACTATAATATTGCTCCTTAATTACTGTATTACTCGTACTATGAATACGTATAGGCTCGCCGTTTTAGTTTTTTATATTAGCGATTCGAACTTGTATCCCTCAGGTCCTAACATTGCGCGTCTTTAAAAAACGCTACCGCCATTTTTATTCGGACATGAACTCAATATTTTTTTAAGTAAATACTAATTAAATGAGGTACAGATAAATCAGATAATTATGTATAATATAAATCATTTTATGTCAATTTTAAAAAAAAGAAAGGGACCCTATCAAGGTTGACATGTAATATGTATACTGTTACGCACTCCATATTGTAGATTTCAAAATCTCCATATTATTGAAATCATTAGGTAATTTTGGGTTTTCCTTTGATGCAATTAGATCCTCTTTGAGTTATATACATATGCTGGGAATACCAATGATATTCACTTTACTATAATAAATTTGTAATTAGTGTTAATTGAAGTTAAATAGTTTCGAATTTAATAATATATTGCATAAAAGACAAGGAGAGAAGAAAGATAGATTAGATAAATATATTATTTTACTATTTGATCGTATAAAATTCCCATAGGACGCTTTTTAACGGATCTACACAATCTTTTATTAATACCTGATGTTCTCCTAATCGATTCCGGCCACGGCGGCCAATCTCATTGAGACTAGCCAACTGCGCGGGAGATATTATAGTGCACAAGTGTATGCGTAGACACAAGTGCACTCTCTATTCCTGTCACTCTCATACTCCAGTGGGACGACTTCTCGACACGACCAGTGAGAGTTAAGGCGCAGGACCGACGGCTTTACGAAACATCGCTAACTTCCCAACTTCGGGCTGTTACTGAGACTTACTATAGAGAAAGACTCAATAACTAAACTTGGCTCGTCAGGGACTCGAATCCTGGACCTCCGGGTGTGCAGCCATACATGCTAGCCACTACACCACCAAGGCAGTTGTACATGATACCCCCACCAAAACTTTTTTAGCTAAGCTCGAGAATTGCTTAATAGATACCATATGTTTTCGTAAAGAGTTGCGTTATTCATATTGTAACGTAGTAACCTTTCACTTTCAACATCGGTATCCCAAAATAAAATAGTGGCGTCAGTCAATTTTGAACCACCGAGCTATCCAGCTCCATCCAGCAGTTGGTAAAGTAAAGATGGTAAGTTATTTGGATATTTATATCCTTTTAATGCGTTTTTATTTATAATTGCTAATTGTGACAGTTTTTATTCAAGTTGTATTATTATGTAAGCAAAAATTACTGCGGCACAGCAGAGACCTGTATGACTGTAAAAGATTTTCTTATTAAAGTAAATAATAGCCGCTTAAAAATTTATTAATAATATTAATTCAAATGTTCTTGCGTCTGTGTTTATTTAGATAGGCAAATAATAATAACTTAACCTATGCAAAATATTTCATACACAACGATAGCCTTTAACTATTTGTTATTAGTGTTTTAACTGTATCATTTTGTACAAAACTAAATGAATGAAATCAAGTTCCAAGCTATTTTCAATGAAACGCTCGAGCCAAGCTAGTAATGGAACTCTATTGAAATAACACATATTACAAATTTCTTTACGGTTCGTTGCGTTGTTGTTGTGCTACAAAGAGCAACAGGTGTTGTCGGTGAAAGATCAAATTAGGACAAACTATTTCAAAGTATTAACTGCAGAGTGCAAATACTTATACAAGAATGCGCTTATAAATTTGAAACTATACAGAACTCATAACTGGCACGTGTTTTGATATACCTTGTTCTCTATACTCCTATCTGTCTAGCAACTATGTTAACTATTTAATTAACTCAATGATTAATGATTAATTGAACTTTTTCAGAAAATCGCGATCATCATTGTTTTCCTACAATGCTTATTATATTTGGCGACGACTGAAGTAGTTCCAGAGACCAAAGATATTGGAAATGAAGATTACGATGATTTGGGACGCAAACACAGAAAGAAAAAAAAGCATCAAAATAATCCATGCTATAGCGGATATGGAAGGACATTTGGTGAAAAATTTGGTCCTCACGATTATACCTATATTAATGCTCCAGTTACTAATTACTTCTTTGGATGTGGTGGTGCGCCAGCTCCTGTAGCCCCCATCCAGTATCCTGTTCAATTTGGTGGTCACGGTGGTCATGGTCATGGAGGCCACGGTCACGGGGGACACGGTCATGGAGGTCACGGTCAGGGAGGACATGGTCATGGAGGTCATGGTCAGGGGAGTTATGGTTCATACGGAGGCTTCCAAGGTTTCGAAGGGCCAGCCAATTATGGGTACAACCAAGGCTACCAACAATATCCTAACCAGTATCAGAATTACAACAGGCCGTTTCAAAATGTTGTATCCGCGGCTGCATCAGGCTTCGGCAATGCTGTTGCCGGTTACCTCAATCGGCCGAGAAAAGTGAATAAACAAGTGAATCAGTTCTTAAGACCATTATATAAATTGTTTTGAAGTATTGCAGTCATTTCGAAAGTAAGTCTTTTGCTCGAGCGCAGATTGTTGTCAAACGGCTGATTGTGTAAATATTACAGTTTGATCAGTTTTCAATGCGATTAAATAATATAAATAATACTAAGAATATGGCTATTAATCGTTTGTAAGATATAAGTAGAGTAAGTTTCACGAATGTTTTGTTTTTATTATGGATAATGGATGACATCGTTTTTACGTAGAAAATTATCAAGACTCGTCGAACATGTGATATATTAAGAAAATAGAAAAGTATTCATCTGTAAATACATTATATAAGTAATATAAAGATATATAAGTTAGTAATCTTCTTTTATATAAAAAAATATAACACTTGTTTAAAAATTGTTGATTAATTTTACAAAAATAAATGTGTGACTTTCAAAAGTGTTTAAAACATTATTTTGAATTTTAGCTTTACCTTAGCTATAACATCGTCCTACCTATCGTTGTTTATGGGTTGAAATAAAATATCATAAGGGATTAATTATTTAGTCTCAATCTTAATGACGAATTAGTATTTAAACTATGGTGCAGTGTAAACCTAATTTTATTAAGAAAATTTTATAACCACTACTTCTTATTATAATGTGAGTAAATATGTTATAGTTAATACGTGTAAGATGTTACATTTGCTTTAAATATAATAAAGTATATAAAAAATTTATATATTAGTAGCATTGCCCGCGGCTCCGCCCGCGTTCAGATGACCAAAAACCAAATTCTTAGGTTTTACATAAAAGTATACTCTTACAATGCAGTTTTTGTATTTTTTCTCAGAAATGTAATTTTTTCCCGCGCTAAAAAGTATCCCATATGTTGACCCGGATAACCAGCTATCATCATACCAAATTTCATCAAAATCTGTAGAGTGGTTTTCTCGTGATGCGGTAACAGACAGACAGACAGACAGACAAAAAATCTAAAAACTGCAGATTCGGACTCTGTACCTATCGATAATAATATCTATTTCAATTAGGTTTTCCGAAAAATATTTAATGTACAGATTCGACTTAGTTACAATTTTATTATATGTATAGATAACAAATGGGTAATATAATCTATTCTTTTCTAAATTGCGGAAAATTATTTATATGGGTTTAGCTACGGTGAGCGATGAAGTGAACTAGGCTAAAACTAATCTCTTTTTACATTGCAAAGCTAAGTCCTTGTGTTGTCTATTTTTTATTAGTTACTGGGCGACGGAGCTTCTCTCGGAGTTCTTTTTTGTTATATCGTATTTTTTACATTATTATAGTAAAAACTTGGTATCCGACCGGGATCCGAAGTGCTTGTCAATCTTGCGCCTAGACCGCTTGACCACGACGCTCATGCCCGATATTTTGCGACCATATTTTGCGTGGAATAATGCGAAAGAAACCCGCATGAAAACTCGAAAACACGTGTTTTCCCAGACATAAGACTCGTATGTATATATCGATTTTTCGCCCCCGGAAACCCTGACATACAAAATTTCAGCAAAATCGTTGGGAGCCGTTTCCGAGATCGCCGTTACATATAAATAAATAAATATACAATAATCGCTCTTTTAAAGGTATTCATTAGGTCAACGTTCTATTTGAACTATTATAAAAAAATTAAGAGATAAACTACGCGAATTGATTTCATATCATACTATTGTCATATTATGTCTAAAGTATAATTTGAGTTACTGAAAAGGACTTTTTTACTATGAATTAAGTTGTAACAACGTTCGACAAAATTTACAGCAAAATTAAATATAAAGTTGTTATAATTAAAGTGTGGAAAAGTGTAGGTACCTATAGAAAGTCACATGAGATTCAGTATTGACTCTACCATTTCCTAGTCATTTTGTCCATAAACAGAACTACTCTCACGGTTTTTATAAATTAATAACTCTCAAACCAACTATACGAAGCAAAATTACACTTAATACATATATGAAAATATTTTTGATTTTTTAAATAAAATGTTGCATGTTAACAATAATAAGCCTTTTTATTCAATCTATACTAAAATATTATAAAGAGGTAAAGTTTGTGAATTTGTGACGTTGTGAGTTGGTGACGTTGTAGGGGGTAATCTCTGGATCTACTGAACCGATTCAGATGAAATTTGGTAAGAAGATAGTTTGAGACTCTGGAAAGGACATAGAATACTTTTTATTCCGGAAATCATCCCTAAAGGCGTGAAAATGAATCCGAGCGAAGCGAAGGTGAGTCGCTAGTGTGACATATTTTCATATCGACGCGATGTACAGTAATTATTGATATTTTTAACTCTCTCTGTATTTTTATAAGTAGTCTAAGTACTGTCTAAGCAACACATTTGAGAGAATAAAATTAGAAGAAAAATTTAAACAGAAATTGAATCCGATCTGTGGACGCACTGTTATTTCGCCATATTTTTATATTTTATTTTAAATCATCGGAATATGTAATAATATTCATTACAAAGTATATGAATGTATGGATTAATATCCTAGAAGACAATTAGAGCGTGTTTCAATCATGCGCTGAAACGGAATACGTTCTTGTTTAATGTTTTCGAGTATTTACTTCGTAGGTCGTAGAAGCCTAAAATGTAAAGGCTGCATACTACGAGTGTTCGACCGAATTCTCGAATATTTCGAACGTTTGTGATTCTTAACTTGGAAAAAATTCAAATATGGGATAGTAGATATTCAAGAAAATGGTGATTCCTCAATACCAATAGTTCTTTCTATATACGTTTTGTGATGTTAGCCATGCATTTTAGCATCGTCATTTGAAACTTAATATAATCCGGCAAAGGAAACATGATCATAAAATTCATAATTCGTATAATGCAATAATTAAATGTAAATATTATTAGGCTATTATATAGCCTAATATATAAAGATCGATCGATTTTCAACTATCAGACCTTCAAACCGTCAAAGTGTGTCGACGTATAGGATTGCAATCGCATTGAAAAGCATATTTGCAACTGAATTTACACCGCAATAACTACTTTTATGTTTCAATTTTTAAGACGTAAAAGGATATTGTTACTTTCTATGAGTTCGCTGATCGGAAATTACTATTATTATATTATTACTAAAGTTTTATTGCTCTCGGTTAACAAGAGTGTCATATAGAGATTCACTAACACGCGCATTATATACACAGTTCTGGTTAATTCAACCACTGAACACTAATTTTCACCACAAGACACATTTTCAATATGACCTCCATTGTTCTTCACTTTTTCCTTTTCGAACTTCTTCTCAGTCGTACTTAGCTTCGAAATTTAACACACACACTCTCTCGACACACTGCCGGCCTTTTTATATGTATAAACAAAGAACATTCAAGTATTCGAAACCTTTCTAGTAGTCCATCGACGTGATGGTACCTAAGTCGTTAATGCGCTTTATAAAATTGGTTTTATATAAAATAGGTGGGATTTATAAATCTTTACTTAACATCATAAATGTTTCTTATCTTTGTTTGACGTAGGTACTAATTTGTTTCGAAGTGATTTTTTCCATATAGTTAATGAGTTGGAATTTAACTAGGTTACTTTTTATCATTATGATTCATCATGTGGTTTCTGTAGGCTGTTGCATATTATGATGTAGAGTCTGTAGAGACAAAGTAATGGTGCCTCACTAGTCACTAGTATATACTTTACTAGTAAGAAGTATTTACTTCTTACTAGTAAAGTAGTAGCGAGACTTGAGAATGAAATTCATTTAAATGCATGAGAACGAAATGCATTGTAATGTAGAAATGAGATACATTTTGAGATAGGTTTGATAATCGACACTTAGCTTATCCGTATTTAAAGTATATTTTTTATCTATAAGCTTCAAAACAAATTAAATAAATTATAATAAATAAATAAAAAATTACAAGTTCAATTAAATTAAGCAAATATCAGTCTATAAGTAAATTTTATTCATGTAATTTTTCTAATGGAAACAAAAATATACTAATTAGGTACATAGTACTAAGTTTCAAGATGTAAATCTTCGACTTTTTTATTGTTGCAGCAATCCTTCTGAAGGTTATGGTGATTACCAGTCGAGAGAGCAAATAGTAAGTTTGGAAAGCAAAAGCCAATTAAGCATTGATGACGGAGGCGATGGACACTACCATGTCACGCATCCTACCTCGTAAGTAAAATATCGACACTTGCAAAGAGCATCGTTGTAACTCCGTATTGTACTATTGAGTTATTATAATTTAATTCAAAATTGTTATGATGCTAAATTACAATGTTTTTCTTTGCAGATTTTGATATTATTATCAGCAATAGGTTTGGTTAGGAAGCTTCATTAAAAAATATTTTTGTAGTTGACAGTTCTAAAGCTACTTTGTACATATGTGATAAAAAAATATATAATGAATAAAATATTGAACTAGATTGCAATTTGCAACTCAATTGGATGATATTCCATCTTTTTTGTCACTGTGACTTGGTTAGTAATATTTATTTACTAGTTTGAAAATGTACTTACTATCTAATTTGAATAATTTTACAGATACGCAGACACACTGTTGCACTTATTCCGTGGCAACATCGGCTCTGGGCTCTTAGCTATGGGAGACGCTTTTAGGAATGGAGGCATCGTCTTCGCGCCAATCATGACAGTCATACTTGGTGTCATATGCGTGCACGCTCAACATAATTTGGTGAGTTCTTACTACCAAAAATATTTTAAATGTTAGACAAAAGTAATAAACGTGTATTAATTAATGCAAAACAAAGTAATTTGTAAATGTAATGTAATATTTACATTGCTTAAAACAATTGTAATTACAGAAAAGATATGAATGTTAAGAAATATATAACATTGACTTACTATTTATTGTGATGGTGAAACACAAAAATAAATATAATTACTTATTTAATTGTTAAATCTCTGGTTGACCTAATTTGTCTGCATTTTAAATTTGGCAACAATCATTTAATATTTTATGGGCCTTTGTAATCAATTTAAATGAAGTTTGTTTTAATTCAGGCTATAAAGAAAATAATTATTTGATTGTAGTTGATACATACGTTGTGTATGTCCAAAATTATATAACCTAATATTGTAAACAAAATATTCTATTTAAAAGAGCAACTGTTGAGTTTCTTGTCGCATCCTCTCAGCAGAACTGCCTTCCAAGCTGCTTTTATTTCGTCACGAGTTTACAATACTGATATATAATTTGTTAAATTGTAAAAATTTCCGACTTGAAAGTGTTTTGTAATAATCTTATCAAAACATATTTTGCCTTAATTCTATTTGAATAAACTAAGTATATTTTGATTTAACCAATAAGTATAAATTTCGTTAATGTATTTTTCAGCTCAATTGTGCAGAAGAGATGCATAAGAAAACAAAACGGGAGAAGCCCCCAGGCTTCGCGGACACAGTCGCACTGGTGTTCGAATACGGGCCATCTAGGCTCCGGCCTCTCGCGCCTACTATGAAAATATTAGTCAACACCTTCTTATGTATTACGCAATTGGGTTTTTGTTGCATCTATATTGTATTTATTGCTAATAACGTTAAGATGGTAAGTAGATATCATTTTTCTTGCGTACAATAAAATTATAAAGTATTTTTTGGGGTTTCATGTTGAAATTATTAGATTATGGGAAATTTCAAAGAATAGTGAGCAAGAGAGCATAATTAGTTTTTTTTTAAATTAATTAAGTAGCAAACACGTTTTTTTTAATTAGTCAGTTGATAAGAGCTGTTGCTTATAAGAATTAAATTTTGACCAGTTACTTGCCTGTGGGTTGTGGCGTCACCAGATGCTACAACTGTATGATATTTTATGAAGATTTGAGAGACTATTGATATAGATTAGTGAAATTTTAAAGCAGCAAAAGTTAATCACTAAATTAGTATTTTAAAAATACATATATAATATTAATAAATATATTTTATAATTGCAGATTTGCGACCAATATGGCGTCCACATCGATTTATCTATTCACATGATATTTGTAGTTGTGCCAGTCTTACTCTTGTGTATGGTGCGAAATTTGAAGTATTTGACACCATTTTCAACCCTTGCCAATGTTTTAATGGCGGTGGGGGTTGGAGCGGTTTTGTATGAGGCCACACAAGATCTGCCTTCAGTAGAATCCAGGGAATATATAGGGACTTGGCATCAACTACCCTTGTATTTCGGTACTGCTGTTTACGCTTTTGAGGGTATTGGCCTGGTAAGTCCGAGTCTAGATTAGACTAATATTACAAAGAGGTCATGTTTGTAAAGTTGGATATTGGAGATATTCTCTAAAACTACTGATCAGATTCTGAAAATTCTTTTTCTAATAGGAAGGTACATTGACGCCGAGTGTTATAGGTTATTTATACTCCGATGAAAATGTGTTTACTGCTACAAAACATTAATAAATTTAATTGAAGCCGAAAAAAAACTGGCTGTTTGTTGCTTTATTGGCGTGTGCTGTCTAAACGCTTTGATATACCCGAAATAAGCAAGGGTATGCCGCTGGATACATTTTCTAGGTGTTTAGGTTAGAAAGTTAAGCTTATTAAAATAATCTATGCATTCTACATTAATTCTATCAGACAATAGTAAATATTTTATATGGCTATAATAATGTAGTTTTAATAAAGACCGCCCAGACTTTGTTGCAATTATTAAGAACTAGATAAGAACACGTGGAAATTTAAGTACCATAATTATTGTTCTGCGCTATTGATAATAGTACTTTGTACTTAACTAAAGTATTAATATTACAAAAAAAATTAAGAAATTTGAAGTGGAAAATAAAATAATGTGGTTTCATTCGTCATTTTAAAAATATATTTTTTTGCCTATAGGTATATGGTAGGTCCGATGCGATACTAACTTCTCTTTCAATTTAAATACAATGATATTTATATTTAATATATAATAAATATTAGTCCACACCATACATATATTTAAATAAAGAATTTTACAGAAAAAATAAGTACAAGATACACATCGTCGTTGCGACTTTGAAACCTCTTATGTGTAAAAATCAATTTTATGAGATAATCGACAAAAACCGTCTACTGAAAAAAATATAGTGAAACCAACTACAACAAAAAATATAAATATCAGCTACATGTTTTCCTGCTTTTTACTATGATATTATTACATGAAATGAAAAGTAGTATCTTAGTGAAAAAAAATAAAAACAAGTTCAGTTAACACATAAGATAATTTGCATGCGCTTTATGTATCACATCGTTGCTCTTGAAACAAAATGCCTACAATTATTGCATTAAAAAACTATTTATTTTATTGCAAAAACAAATATATTTCTCTAAATGAACATATTAAGACATTATATAACAATTGAATCACAAGTTAGAACAAAAAAAGTTACAAATCAAACTACCATTACTTTTTGAATTTAACTATGTAATTATGCATTAGGTGCCAGGATTGAATGGTAACGCGTTATAAAATGGATGGTAATCCTGGTCTATTACCATTTTGAGTTCCTGCAAATGTTTATACTTGCTCTCAGTAATTTTTATTGGAGCTTTATACAGTCGCCTTGGAGATATAAGACCATTTCTTTGGTTGTTTTTACGCTGTGGAAGTACTGACCACTCATCGACATGTCTTAACCTATAAAATATAGATCCATCGGATAAATATTTAAGACCCCTAATGTCCACCACGACAGGATCTCCCTTCTTTTTTCCAGGCCGTATGGATTTTAGGTTCGATTCCATCTCTTCGAAATTGAGAAAGAAATCATAGTGAACAGATTTGATATCATAGGGCTTTTGAGGTCGAGCTTGTCTCATCCGTACGATGTAATCACTGGGAGCGAATATTGGCGGTTTTATGTATTGCTCAATAGTGGAGTGAACACTATCTACCTCCATCATAGTGTGCCCTTTTTCCAGATAAAGTTGTTCAATACAAATTTGCCTCCTTTGCGCCAAATCGCTTAGGGCACTAGACAAAAATCGGTTTCGGTTTTGGTGTCCGCATCCATCAGAAATAATGATAATGCGCTCTGTTGTAAGTGGCAGGTTTTGACAGTAGTCTATTAAACAAGATGTGAATTCATTAGCAGTTACATTACCATCTGCTTCGTGCCAAAAGTAAATTTTCACATCTTTGGATAGCACGTTATAAACCGTAAAGTTATGGCATTGTAATTTTAATTTGTAGTACAATGCGCTAGCCAATAGCTTTGGGGCGAGCAAAACACTTTGAACGTCGACTGTTATAACCACATCCTTTTCGTTTGCGCTTTCTATGACATTCGTTTTGGCTTCACGGGCTTCAGTTTTCTTCGCAATATGACTTTCGTATTCTTCTTTCGAAATGTTACTCGTTTTATAACTGCAACACGTGTCACACTGGTCTTTGCGCGGAAGATGAATGCCGATATTTTCTTTTGTCAGTATCTTCGAAAATGTCCTTCTAGAGGCAGCTTTGTAGTGGTTTTCAATACACCACTCCTTAAAAACTTGATGCATGTGGAGTTCAGATCGAAAAGTCGATTCAACATAATTTTTTTTTGAGCTAGAACGACAGTAATGACTTGGTACTTTTGGTAAAAGATCCAGCCATGTTTTAACAGTTCTTGTCAATTCAACGTGTCTTCCTGGCCTAGCAATAATATTTGAACTTGGTGAAGTGTTTTCTGCAGTTTGATCAATTACATTTTCCTCTAAAGTATCAACCTCTCTAGTCCAGCGACGAAAACTGTCTTCTCCAATGCAAAGTGTGTTCAGAAAAAATAATTTACATACTCTTACTCTAGTGCACTTCGCGTCCAATTTATTGATGAAGATATCATGGCCACTTTGTTTTTTGTTTGTAGAATTTTGTTGGGATTTACGTCGTCGTCTTATACATCTTCGCACCGCTGCTGCTCTAATAAACGCAATCTTTTCCGGCCAAGTCTTGAGTTTCCAAAAATGTTTATGAATCTGTTCACGTTCTTCGTTGGTGACAAGAGCACAAAGAAAAGAATATTTTGTTTTAGGAACTACACAAGTGTGTACGCAACGTGGTTTTAAAATTCTTGCAGGCTTCTCAACGCACGCTGTCCATTTGTTAGCTAACTTCTTATAACCAAGGTATGATTTACCAGCAACACGAGCTTTCTTATTCAGTTTAACGGTACATGGAAGTGATATTTGTACAGATATAGATGTATTATCGTCAATATTCTCGGACTGTGATACCTCACTAACATTGTCAGCATCATCACTATCACAATTCTCATTATTCAGAGAAGGCAAAATCCTCCGTCTTCTTAAAAATAAGTTTCTGTTTCTTCGTAAATCTTGCACAGTCAACGACCTAATACTTTTATCGACGTCCAAACGTTCCTCGACCTGTCTCCTCAATGGATAAAAAATCTGCCTTTTCCGTGTAATCCCTGGAACCCAATCCGGATCATCGTCACTGTTGTCGCTCAAATTTTCAAAAATAGGTTTTGATGATAACACTTGCATTGATTCAGATGCGATATCCGGGCCTTCAGTGGCATGGAGTAAGCTGATGTTTTGATCAGATACAGCTTCCGTAAAGTCATCTCGATTATTCAATTCAGAAGATATTATGCCCAACTCTTCTGGCGTAATAAGAGAACCGCTAGAACAGTCCACTCTTGAAAATTCCTCAAAATCATAAAATGTATTTGATTCGGAGTCACATATATTTTGCTGATTAATTAAAGATTCTATTTCACTTAGACAGAGCGGTTTACTCATTTTTTATGGTTTAACATACAAAAATCTTATAAACTTTCGTTTGTAATAACGCACATGTAACGAACTGCAACGCACTGATGAAATAACGAGTATAATGAGCGACATCTATCATCTACGATTGGAGAATAACCACACAATTTATCTATCTCATTCGTCCCCGTGATATTATTGGTCTAAAGCTACATAAAGATTTTTTAAAAATACCCGCCTTTCTCGTGCTTCTCCACATATTATATTCTTTATTGCACTTAAAATATGATACAGAAAAAAAAATAACAAAGTAAACATAGTTCACAAAGGTGGACTTATCTCTAAAAGAGATCTCTTCCAGTCAACCCTGGTTGTGGAAGAAGATGTCAGCGGGCAATATAGTGCAAAAAAAAAACTAAATATATACTAGAAATAAAGGTAATAATAACCACTTATACATACATACATACATACATACATATATACATACATATATACAAAAATATATAATACTATACATATATAATACCTAATGTAAAGACTACTTATACATACAAACATATATACATATACATAGTTAATATATAAAATATGAAAATGGAGAAAGGTACTGATTGATATTGTCTACATTTGTGAGAATAAATAATTTTTTAATTTACATTTAAAAACATGAATAGATGGGCTCTCATGGATGGATTTGGGCAGTTGGTTCCATAGTACTGCGGCATGGACAGAAAAAGAGTTTTGTTGAAATTTAGTATTGCTCCTAGGAATGTCGAGCATAGAAGTACTGCAAGATCTTCTGGAACGTGTAGGGATTGGTAGAAAGTTAAAACGGGAACGAAGGTAAGGAGGGAAATTTTGTTTTTTAAGGATATTATAAAGGAATGATAGGGTGTGCATATTACGGCGAAGACGGATGGGGAGCCACTTAAGTTGAGCACGGAAGTCAGAGATGTGGTCATATTTCCGCAAGCCAAAGATAAAACGTATGGCGAGATTCTGAAGACGCTCCAGTTTATTAAGTAGCTCCTCTGTCACATCCAGGAAGCAGACGTCGGCGTAGTCGAGAATGGGTAATAGGATGGATTGCGCTAGCATTATTTTGGTTTTGAATGGGAGAAAGTATTGGAGACGCTTGAGAGAATGAAAGGAAAAATGCATACGTTTACTTAGTTCGTTAATATGAGGTGCCCAAGACATGTTACAATCAAAGATGAGACCTAAATTTCTCACCTTATCCGAGTAATGTATAGGGATTCCAGAGTACAGGATATCAGGTACTAAGGTCCAGTTAATCCTACTTCGTAGTCTGCTGCTACCAATAATTATAGATTGCGATTTTTTGGGGTTTACTAATAGACCGAAAGATTCAGCCCAGCTTTGGATCGCAGCTAAATCATTGTTCAAAGCCGTAACAGCCTCAGGCAACTCAATTAAATTACAATGTCGGTATATCTGCAAGTCATCTGCATACAAATGGTAGGGAGAAGAAATGACATGTGAGATATTATTAATGAAAATAGAAAAAAGTAGTGGGGAAAGTACGCCGCCTTGAGGAACACCAGCTGTAAGATCCAACCATGACGATAAGTTATCATTGGCTGTCACGCGCTGCCAGCGCCCGAAAAGATATGATTGGAACCAATTTATAACAGCCTTTATTAGAACAAAACATAAGATATTTTGTTCTAATAATTGTATAAAGACCACAAGTTTGAAAGCAGCTAAAAACTTGTATGTGTAAATTTACACATAAGATATTTTAAGAACCAACTTTTAATTAGCAAGCACATTCAAGATTTTGAATTTAGTAAATAACTGACGATTGAAACGCCATATTCACTTGACAGTTTTTGCAGTCGATAGCGCATTAAAATGTAAAATCGGTAAGCCTAAAAAAGTAATTTTGCCAAAAGTGACACATAGGAGGTCTTAACTTCGCAACGACGACATATTAAATTTAAAATATCGTGTCGTTGGCAAAACATTCTTCAGCGTATTAACTTGATCTACTTAAAATGAAAAGAAATTGTTTGTATAAAGCCCTATCTATGCACACGAAAAGATTTTAGCGCACTGTTGTCACGCATTTAACGCGCTCGCTTCAGGGCTTGCATCTGTGTTCTGGCGTGTTTATACACATAGTTTTTCATAGTGTGTTTACGAAATGGTAGGAAACTCTTGGTATTTTGTGTTAATACCTGCTTAGTATGTATATTGATATACACGTATAAGTTAATATTTAATATGAAAGAATAAGATATTTTTTTAATTTTAAACCAGTTAATATTAAAATAAAACGATTAATTTTTTTATTCTATGTTTTATTTACAATTGGTTGTAGGTTTTACCATTAAAGAGTGAGATGAAAAAGCCTGAGTTGTTCCAAAAGCCACTCGGTGTTCTCAATGTGGGTATGGTGATAGTGGCTAGCATATTCCTGACGGTTGGCTTTCTCGGGTACTTGAAGTGGGGTGAAGATGTCGCTGGCAGTCTTACTCTAAATTTGAAGCCTGGACACGCGTAAGTTCTAAAAATATTATCAATATAAGCTTTTTTTAAAGGAGCTGTAAAGAGATAATTAGAGAGAGTATTGTGTTAGACCTAACTATCTCCTTTAGGACGATAATAGTATGTCGACGATATTTTGCATTACGGAAATTGTATTACAAATACTCGTACAGTTGTTTCTGTATATCATTATTTAGAGGGATTTGTCATTAAAAATCTTGCAATTAAATAGTTTAATTTTCTTGTCTGGCTGTTTAGTTGCGTTACTTACCAGTATCGCTGTTTTTCCAAATTTCACTAAATGTATTAAGAATCTTATCTATACGCGATGCTAAAAATATTTTGTTGCCTATCGGTAACGGTTAACAGTCGGTAGCGGTACTGAGTAACAGCTTGTCCTCCGACAAAGGCCTCCTGCAAATATCTCCACTTGGACCTGTCCTTTGCTAACCGAGTCCATAGTGCACTAGCTACTTTAATACCATCTCCTCATCTCTTGATCGGTCTACATAGTATAAATAAAAGTTAAAAAGTTTCAGTTATTAGTTAAAGTTATAATATTTGGTTTAAACTAGATTTGGAGCGGATAGTATACTCGGCTATATGCCGAATACTGAATATTCGACTTTTTGGCCGAATAGCCGAATATTAAGCAAAAGTATTCGGTCATCGTAAAATTTGCGGCGAGAAAGCGTGTATCGACGTGTTCGTTTCTTGTTTGGCGTCGGGAAGTAGTATTTATTCAAAGCGTCTTTTCTCTGAAGCTGGGATCGTCAATTCTAAATTTTAATTATGATAATGCAAGTGCATAGAATTTGATAGTTTTTTTGGTAAATTTTGTAATACATAACTTGATTATGTACCTATGACTACTTTAATGAGTAAATGAAAAATATATTATTGTAAAATAAATTCATATTTTCGTTTTACCAATAGGGAATACGTGTGTGATTTAAATAAAGGTGAATATTCTTTATTGCTTTTGAATTAAGCATCCATCAGTATTTTTTTAAATAATTTCTTTTTGATTAAGAAAATAATTAATAAAAAGTGCAAATAAAGGCGTGAAATTCAAAATAGTTGAAACGCACGCCACTGGTCAGACCGAATATGACGTCAAAGTAACATAACAGAGCGATTAGCGATTTTGCCGCTACAAATTGAGTCGTCATTTTTCTATGTATATCATAGGTACGATTAAAGTATACGTATAGGTATGATATTTTGAAAAAAATATATGTATTATAGGTACTTTTTAGTTTTTTGGAGCTGGATATTTTTTTACAATAATATAACGATGTTAACTATTGAATAAAAATTAAATCACGCATATTCCCTATTATTAAATTACAATAAAACATATTACTTAAGTATTCGGTATTCGCCAAAGTAGTATCTAGATATTCGGTATTCGGCCGAATAGGAAAAAAGTAGCCGAATAGGTCGAATACCGAATAATAGCCGTTATATTCGTTGCATGTCTAGTTTAAATGGATGGAACAACATTTTATTTCAACTCTGTAACTGTACAAGCTTATTTTATTTTATAATAATAATACAAACATTTCCTCAGTCTAAGCACAACCGTGCAAGTGTTGATCACAATCGCTATCCTACTGACGTACCCGCTACAGTTCTATGTGCCAATTGCTATTTCTTGGCCCGCGTTGCGGAAGAAGTATGGGAAGAAGTACCCCACGATTAAGGAGCTGGGCTACCGTGCTGTGCTTGTTTTGATTACTTGTAAGTAATTTTTTATAGTAGCATTAGCTTTGCGAATGGGTTTGCATAAATAAGGTAAGTGTCCCTTTAGCAATCTTGCTTGCAATTAAAGTGAGCCGGGGTCAGACGAAAAATGAAAAAAAAAAAATTAATCTTTAAAACACGTTTCTAGTTTGAAAATACCCTTAAAGTTATTTTGTACGTACTAAATTATTATTTTTATATTTGTTAATTAAACTACTATGGTAACTTATTGTTAGAAACCGGTTAGTGGTAACCCATTTCTTCCGAAATGAACTAAAGGACTTTATCTACAAATATAACAATAAGCATATAAAAATGTCTTTTTCAGTTGCGTTAGCCGAGTCGATTCCTCAGCTGGGTCTCTTTATATCTCTAGTAGGAGCTATCAGCAGTACTGCCCTTGCTCTCATATTTCCTCCCATCATACAACTCGTCTCTACATATCAGAACACAAACACTGTGCCATCGATGATGGTGGTGAAGAATATGGTGATCATCATCTTGGGTATGTTCATCTTTATCACTGGCACTTATCAAAGCTTAGCAGCTATCATTCAAGCGTTTTAGATTTGTCTTAGAGTACATTACGGGAGGGCAGGTGAATTTTAGTTGTACTTTATTACACAGAATATACGTATATTTGCGTACAAATTTGTTAATTTACGTTTTAATCGTGCTCGCGCACCTCAGTATTGAAAATGCGAATATTTTGTATGTTGAATTTATATGTGTGTGGCTGGACGAATTTGGTTAAAATGTGTACTAAATTAGTGCAATAGTAACAAACTTTACGATAAAATAATAAATAACACGTTATAATAAAATAATAAGCAATCATATACATACAAAAATGCACATTCAAATTTTCGTATAAATATATGGTAGAGCAAAAAAGCTCAAGTTTGTGACGACGACCAAAGAGTCACGTAGTTGTGGTCTCGTAGTACGCGGACGATGTAATGCAATGTACTGGGCAAAATAACAAATCTCACCCGTCGTATGATACATAAAATATCTAAGGGCCTATGCACACCACCTAATATAAAAGCACTATTCATAACCTACAACGTGTGCATATATTGTGCGTTCATAAACCTAATAATGTAGATCCACTTGCTTTTATATTGACACTAACGTGAGACAAGCCTCGTGTGCATTGGCCCTTAAAGTCAATAGATAAATACGTTGTGGAATGGATAGTTGTCTACGTACCTAAATTTGTATTTCTCGATTACTGTATGCTATCTTCAATCTTGTTACTGTCCACATTTAAAAGGTACTTTTATTTATACCGTAAGTGAAACTGTTTATAATTAAGCCATTTTGCCTGCCGATGTTATTTTTTCTTAAACCGATTAAATTAAATCGATTTTTATCATAATTAGTCGATTGACTTCGCTTAAAACGACATTATAAATTAATTTTGTAAACGATTAATTTAAATAGATTTTTAATCGTAATTAATCAATTGACTTCACATAAAACGACATTCAGAATTAATTTTGTATGTACCTTGTTTATTGTAAGTTTGTACATTATAAACCGTTTTGATGATTTTGTATTGGGTAGAAAGGAGTACGAATGAGAATATGCTAAATAAGCAGTCCTGATAATTCCTATTTGTTTATCGTTTAATGAAGTACCTATAAATGGACGTGATTATACTGCTTTTAATAGAATTTACTTCCTATCAATTCTTTTTTAACTTTTAAGTATAACTAAGCTCTCACTGCTGTACAGTCTTTTGTTAGCAGAGGCCTTGTTGAATGGTGTCTGCGAAATAAATCAATAAATAAATATACCTACTTTTGTATAAGTATTTATAAAAGACAATTAACCTCTATTTCATTTCAATTAGACCAATAATGCTCATTGTAATATGATACTATGTATTTTTGTTATAACATTTTTGAGACAATTCATGTCACGGGGCATCAGGGTTTTAATATGCCTATTTTCTTTAATAATAGTCATCTTATGAAAAATAAAAATAATAATTAGTACATATTGAAATTTTTTTTACCTACATTGTTTTGTTATGAAATAATATATATTTTTTATTTTATATGGATTTATCAATTAAGAATTTATGAATAATGATTTTTCCAAACTACATACTTACTATTTTCAAATAGATATACGTAGGTTACGTTATGTTTTAAAACACAGTTGTATTTTACTTCAAATGTCTTCCAATTTTCTTGAATCTAAGCTATTATTATAAATATACTTCTTGTAGCTCGTATAATTATACCTATTGATCATTATTTGATCATAATTAATACATATACATGGTTGTTTGTACGTGCGTGTAGTTTCATATAAGGAACACGAGACTTAATATTTATATATCGACGTAATTAAAAATATAATTTAAAATTCATATTTATTTAGTTACGGTTAAATTTCCTAGATACTAAATTATGATAAAAGAAATATAAAATTTACCAAATATAACCACCGAAATCTTCAATCACGTACAAAATCCTCTACAAGATCTTATAATTTGTTCGTAAATAATATTTTTGATATATACCTATATTTTAATTAAACCTTTTTTTGTTTAGATAATTAAGTACCAATATATAGTCTGTATAATTAATAGACCAGTTCCATATTTTAACATTCCATAGATTTGTTAGGTATATAATAAATAGTAAGTAGATATTGTAGATGTTCTTCAAAATATTTCAATGTAATGTAGAATGTCTATAACTTATGTGAATGTTAGTGATAATTTAGACCTGGTTAGATTTTCGTGTTTTAAAGATTATTTTCAAGCTTTGCTTCCGTACTGTACCTATATATTGTACTATGACAATACTTTTTGTTTGTTTTACCAAATGACTTATTATAAAATCAGCTATTTAATGTGAGATACTAAAACAGGTATATAAAAAGCGAATATAGATTTAAAAAAAAACATAAACAACATAAATATATTTCAGGTAATCGTATCTGCCTATGATTCCTTACTTTCCAAAAAAAATGATTAAAACTATAAATGGTAGTATCGGTTGGCTTAAAATCACACTTTTTGAAGATTAAATAAAAATGTTTTGTTTTCAGTAGGTACGTGTTATTAAAAGGTGCAATGTTGTCACATCAATTAAAAGAAAATGATAGAAAATTTAAATATTCATATCTGTACGTAAAGTCAATGTTGTTTAAAATCAGTTACAATGGTACAAGTAATAAAAATAATATCACAGGGTATATAAAGGCTATAGCGCCCTACTGCATATAGTCTCAAAATGTGATTATATCTCTAATTTTAGATAAAAACTTAGTTTTAAAGTTATGATATATTTCAAAATACGATGATTTTACTATTTTTCGGCATATAGAGCGCATAATATTATTAACACCATTGACGCAGTTAGGTATCTACATATAATAGTTGAAAATTCAAAAAAAAATTAAACTCTGCCGTCATAAGAAAGAAGGCCGTAACTAACAATTTAGTTAAAAGTGACTTATATACAGATTCGGAATCAGCAAAAAAAATGCTACTTGATAGTCTTACTCATAAACCTCTATCTTATGAATCCGGCGATACTATAAACGATAACCATTTTAATCGTAACTACGTCAAAACTGACTTAGTAGTAAGACAAAATATAAATATAATAAAACTTCAAATCTCTCGAAAACAAACAACTTTCTCTCGAAACAACTTTGACGAAGCTACGGCCTTCTTTCTTATGACGGCAGAACTGGTTTCATCTTATCTTTATCTTAACTTGTTGCAAAAATAAGTTGCCAATATGTTTTAAGTAAATATTGATTATAAAATGTGAAAGTAGGATACCTATAAATAAGATATGTAATCCTTAAGTGTCAAACACTTTCCATGTTACCTATCTTAGTTTTACACTGTGATACTTTATTTGTGATGATCTGTGAAAATAAATATATGTGAAAATATGAGATTTTTTATTATCTTTTTCCCTTTCTGACGTTTCATTTTATTTGACGAGTCCCATATATCTATACATATAATAAAATTGTAACTAGGCCGAATCTGTATATTAAATATATTTTGGAAAATCTTATTGAAATAAACATTATTATCGATACAGAGGCCGAATCTATAGTTTTTAGAATTTTTGGCAGTCTGTCTGTCTGTTACCGCATCACAGAAGAACCACTTTAGGGATTTTGATGAAATTTGGTATGGTGATAGCTGGTTATCGGGTCAACATATAGGTTACTTTTTACCGCGGGAAAATGTCTCATTTATAAGAAAAAATACATAAACTGCAATGTAAGAGTATACTAAGTAATATTGTAAAACCCAAGAATTTGGTTTTTGGTCATCTGAACGCGGGGTCTACTAGTTATAAATAAATTTCAAAATTACCGCTTAATTTCATTCGTGTCTTCCTCACAAAACGTGACACTGGCAGAATGGACTGCGTCTGTTAACGCAACTATAAGCCATTATAAAAAAAAATACCTTCTAGGAATGCCATTTGGGCAATGTTTAATGGAGAAGACACGACAAATGTTCATTAGCGTTTTAAAACTACAACTCTTATGATGTCTAAATTGAAATCATAGTAGATTCATTTAGAAATAAGTAGAGAATAATTTTATACATTTCCATATAACGTGGTAATCATATTTATTAGTAATATATATGACATACACATTGTGTAAACCCTTTTTATGGAACAGTAGAATTTATAACGGACAGTTTTAAGTAATTCAATAAAGGCGTTTTTCTGTAAATCGTAGAATAAAACACAAGCAGTTCATTTGAAAAATTTATTCAATCAAAGACATAGGACAAATATTAAATAGGAAACGTGTACATGAATCCGATGGAAACTAATTATTTAAAAGCAATAATGGATTTTACGCCTAAAATAAATAATATAAAATTTTAATACTAGGCCCATTACCTACTTTTGTACTAAAAAAATAAATACTTAATCTTACAATAAGTACACACACAGCAGTCAACAGCAGTCATGCGCAGTGTGCCATTTGTCATCAATCCTTGGACGAAATAGAAAATAGAAATATATTAAGCGATTCAATTCATAGAGGTGAGAGAACTAGACGAGATTCTAGAATCGCGATCGCAAATAAACTAATAAATATATGGAAAAGACATATGTAGATATCTAAGCTTCATGTTACGTAGTTTTTTATCAGCGGAATAAGAGATCGCTATAGAAAAATGTATCAAAGAATTTATAGAAAGTAAGTATGGCGATCTACAACTATCTTGTCGGAATATTTCGCGGATTTATTTTGATTTTTGGTTCCCGACGTTTCGAATGATTTACAGCAATCATGGTCACGGGAAAGACTAAAATAAATCCGCGAAATAGTCCGAAAAGATGGTTTTATTTAAAATGTCAAATATTCGCGTAAATCTTATGGCGATACAATTGTTTCTCGTTTTTTCTAACCTCTATGATTTATTTTATTGGCACAAAATATATAGTATTTACATAGACCAGTTCTAGCGACAGGATTAAGTATTTGCTTCTAAAACATTTAATCAAAAGTACGACAAAATATTTAAGTACCATAAAATACACCATGTAAAAAAAATGTAGATGGTTTATGTTCAAACCAAATAATAAATCAAACGAAAAAGTAATATCTATTGAAAAAATTATATACAAAATACTTTAGAAGTAACTCATAAATAGTAAGTAAATTGTCCTTTATATAGAAACTTTGTTTAATTTAAGTCGTGTTTTAAAAGGAAAGAATATAAATGGCAGACTGCGCTTCCAACCTTACAGTAAATTCGAAGAAGAAATCCTAACTACAATAATACTGTCCGCGCGACAACTCGCTTCAAATTCTTCAATGCCTTCTTATTATATAGAAAGAATGTTAATGTAAAAAAAATAGTTAAAATTTACTGGGACATTGAATTTAAAGTCTAAAACCTCGTATATTTTTTTATTTGTGCCGATCTTATAATGTTTTTATACTTTATGGTATTAGTTGTTTTAATTTTTATTTTATTGTTATTTATATTTAATCCTAGTTTATCTTCCATAATATTTGAATATATAAAAACCATTGCCTTTTATAATAATAAGTAAAGAAAAAAAGGTAAATGTCAAATTCGTGACATATCTTGTAAATTTGCTATAGATCGGCTTTATTCACAATTTAAAAAAGTAAAAAAAAGTAAATCGCCATACGATAGCTTTTTATATTCATATAAGGTACGGCCCCAAGTTCTACTCGCCTGGCTAAAAATCTTTATATGTAAAAGGCACATCTCAATTGTACTATACAAAAAAATGTCATTCTGTAACTTTGAAGCAAAAAAAAAAAATGCAACATTTTAACAGGCAGTGAAAAGTATTCTAATAGTTAATAATGTATAAAACATGTGTTATTGAAACTTTCATTTTCTATCTCGCATCCTAAGCCTTAAGACATATTCGAGTGAAACCATATCATGATAAATGGCAGTGCGCAGAAAACACAAGGATACATTTACACCCGTCCGACTTATTTGTGCACTTTGCTGGAATGCGACCACTCTCCTGCTTCCCCGCGCGACTACCCGCATTCGCCTCGTGCGTTCGAATGTTGAATAAAAATAGTTATATTGAACAACTATTTTTATTCAATAAATAAATACCACACACATTGCTTTGATCCCAAATTAAATAGCTAAAGCACTTCTGTTATGGAAATCAGAAACAACGACAGTACCACAACAACCAGACCGGATTCAATATAGAAAAGTTCATTTTCCATATTGGCCCGATCGGGGAGTAAGCCCGGGACCTCTGAGTAGCGACACCATGAAAACCGGTTTCGTCAAAAATATTTTCAGGAAATTGACTTTTTTTGCAATTTGTACGTTCCGAGTCACAGTGCCAGGTGCATAGTTAGGTCGGACGGGTTGTATATATGTCAAATATTCTAAGAATTATTTCTACTGATAATAATTATGGAGGAATGAACGGAACATTTAGAACTATTTTATATACTTTATTTATATCTCATATACTTTTTTGTCTGACCTTACTAGTTGTTAAAAAGTATATAGAATAAAAAAGTGAGAGGGAGACAGAGCGATGATGCCGACATTAGTTGTCTCTCTCTAGAGTTTTGTTAAGTATATTATTGATTGGTCTATAAACGACAAGTATTGACTGCTGCTTATTCTTGCTACTATTGCTTACTGCATATTCGTTTTATCTTCTTCTCAAGATTCGCAGATATTTTAAGCTAATGCTCAGTTTTATTCCTCCATATTCATAGCTCTATTATATCAAGAAATTATTTTACAATTTTTTTTAAAGATACCAAAAATTTCAAATTTAAATTTCAATAATACAATTACAATAATACAAAGTGCTTTACGTTATATTAACAATGATATTGATACCAAATACATAAGGCTTAATACAATTATTATTCCTAAGATATACATACATTGTTGGTATAGGAAGTGAATATAAAAAGTAAAACCACATATAGAAAAGGTTTTAGTTCATAATATAGATAAACATCGATGTAACGATATGTAAAAGTTTTCATTTTCATTGAAACCGTTAAATCTTTACCTATTAACACCTCCAGGTAAATTTCTAAGAAATTAATTAAAATTCTAAGAAATCTATTGTTAACTGACACGCCGGCGTGTCCGCGGTCGTGGAGGGAAGAACTATATTTATTCTTGGGAGAGTTAAGAGTAGGTTTAGCTGAAATATAAAGGGTTCTACAACAAATTTTATTTTTTAATTAAGCCTTCATATTTCGTAAAGTGATATTAGAGCACTTTTGATACTCTTTCTCTTTTTATTAATGAATGAATCATTTTGTTATAAATAATTTCAGCTAGCGAATGCTTGAAAGGCATCACTGGTATCGATTTTATTGTATATAATGAATAATACTAAGTATGTCGGTAGTAAAAGTTTCACATAAGCAAAATTACAGACAGACAGACATATAGTTTGTCTCGCTCTTTATTACCCGAATACAGCGAAGCCCAAACGAGGGTTATGTTTTTGACCTGTATGTATGTATGTATGTGCAATGTATATTGTGTACGCATGTCTATGTTCCCTCGTAATTACTGAACGGCTTATTCGATTTTGATGATTCATACGTTGTTAGATTCATCTTGATTACGCGAGTTTCAGAGCGTATATAGATATCATTAAAATCAAAATGGCGGATTTGGGACGCAAATTTGTGCGTCTAGAAAAAAAATCATTTGAATTGGTCGAGTAAAATACAAGTTTTAAACTAATTTAGTACAAGAAATAGTTAAATAAAACTTGAAATGTTTAACTGGCCACAACTAAAAAGTTGTAAATAAAAAAAAAATGTTTACTTCCAAATCTTCACATACGAATCTAATACTAGTAGTGTTACTTAAACATAACTGCTGGTCAAGCAAGAAAAGTGATAGAAATAGCCGTTCACTCTATCACTTATTCCGTAACAAAATCTCTCACGCGTACTTGCTTAATATATTATTATTAAGAGTCTTTTCTCAATTACATTTATATATTATTTTGAAAGTAGGAAATAAATAGTTAAAATTTAAGATCATTAATCGATATATAATCGGTTAAATAAAAACAAATAATTTTAACTTACTTTATATAGGCGTACATAAAAATGTTTTATAATACTTGTGACAGAATAATTTTACACCGAGACTACTTACGAGTTTAAGTAAAATATATAAGTATGTGTTGAAATTAAATACTGCTGGACAACTAAATTACTGATTAAACTGAATAGAATACGAGTGAATATTCTAGAAAATGTTTTGATATAAAAAAATACTTGCCGTTTTCTCTATTGTAGCTAGGAGAATATTTTCGGCGTTTCCTACATTTTCTAATAATTATATGTTAATTTTTTTAAGTTATACTTCTTTTGGCGCGTCAGGGGAAAAAATGATGAGGGTGATTTTGTTATGTTACGATAGATATAGACTACAATATGAAGTTAATCGTTAAATCTCTCTTTAGTATAGTGTGAAGTGATGTCTATATTCAATACATTTATTCCGGTATTTCTATATACAGAACACGTTTCGATAAAAGTAAAAATTAATACAAGCTTGTGGAATACATATAGTACGGACGTACATAAAGTACAGCATCCACACACTTTTTTTGTGTAATCCATAAACAAAGTACCTAATTAGAAAATAATAGAATTGTCTATAACAATAATTTTACTTTATAAATTAAAAAAAATAATGTCATCATCACATGAATAGACCTAAATAATTAAACGTGGCGACCAAACTTGCGTTTATAAAAAAAATAAAGCATGATATATTTGAAAATGAAAAATTAAAACAATGGACATGTTATATTTTATAGCATTAAATAAATTAAGTAATATTACGATTAAGTTAAAGAATGCATAATCATATCTATATATAAACATCTGCGTGTCTATTTGTTCAGCACAGCTAAGTGGCCGTTAAGGTTTTCGATATAGAACCTCAAAGTTCTATAGATGGGGATTTATTCTATGTAAGTCATTTTAAATCAGGTGAAAGCCAGGGCGGCACGCTTGTGTTTTATAATCAAATTTATGTTTTATATATAAAAAAATACATCCTTTCGCAAATTACTTCAATTCAATTATCTTGTCGATGGCTTCATCAATGTTACTTACAATAAAAATAATTTAATTATTAATTTAGAATAAAATGACATTTAGTATATTTTCCTATTATTCGCTTTAGTTATTTTAATTTATTCTCGTTATCTTAGGTATATAGAGAACTATATAACAGAGACATTTCACGTTATACAGATTTCAATATATGTAGATATTTTAAACGTGGGCTTGACACCATTATTTTTCATTAGATGCATATTTTTAACCGACTTCAAAAAAGGAGGTTATTAATTCGACACGTATGTATGTAATATTATCGGAACTGCAAAATATTCACATATGATAATCTATTAGGGCTTCCAAACAAATGTTCAAAATTTTATAGATGTATGTATGTGATTAATAAATTAATTTGCAGAAATGGACTGAGAAGTTTTAATACTTTATACTTATATATAGTGAACTATCCAACATTACAATTAAATTGGATTAAAACATATTTGCAATTTCGATTCTCAACAGTAATATTTGGATATCCAAGGAATCGTTTGTATAGAAAGTGAATATACCAAGTAATTTAAAATTATTACCAAAACATATTTTTTTAATATATTATATATGTACAAGATCTATGCAAATATTGATATTAAAAAAATTATCTATAAACGACCTAAAATGTTAAAAGGTATTCATTCCAAATACGCGAAGACGAATATGAAATAAACAAAAGATTTTAGACGTCATGAAAAAAGTAAGCATGATTGAAAATAATATTTTTTTAAACCTATCTTTACCAACTTCTTACGAATATCCATAGTACACTATCAACAAATGTCAAAATTTATCTTATGTAAAATTTTAATGTGTTTTGGAACTATGCCATTATACCCCATCCACTCTACGCATCCTACTATTTTAATACATCTATCGCCATATAATGGCAACATTCGGGTCATCATCGATGATCTGATCGAGGGTAGTAAGGTCTACTCGGGCCAAACAACATATTTCGTCAGTACTATTTCTACCTGTGAAGAGTCGACGAATGCCGAGCATCGAGTCCACGCGTGGGCTAAAACCGTTGGGCCTGACTGGGTTACGGATATATACTGGATATCTGAAATAAATGTTATTATATACATGGTATGGAATGGTATAGTATGTTCGGGCTATTTTCCGCAACTCGATATATTATATACATATTGTCTCTCAAAGTACGTAACAACAAAAAAAAAATTGAAAAATAATCTATATTCATCTATGAAATCAGTTCCGCCATAACGAAGATTAATTAGAACCAACAAACAGACGTACATATTTAATAGAGATTGGTAATATAAAAAAAATGTAAAAGTTTGTGTATGTGCAATTCACACAATATGGTAGAAGTGAAACTTAATCTATACTAATATTATAAAAAGGTAAAGTTTTTGAGTTTGTGAATTGCGAGTTTGTAAGTTTGTGACGTTGTAGGTGGTAATCTATGGATATAATAATAATAATAATAAATACTCTTTATTGTACACCCACAAGAGAAAAAAGAAAAAAAAAATACAAGAAATATATAAAAAGAGTTATGTACAAGAGGCGGCCTTATCGCTAAAACAGCGATCTCTTCCAGGCAACCTTAAGGTGTTGGAATTGACAAACTGTAAGAGGGAAGGGGTGTGAACTATATAGTAGTAATAATAATAATAAAAAAATCATAATAATAATAATACAATAATAACAATAATTCATTTTTAATACTATGAATAAACTTACATATCCAAAAATACATACATATGTACATAATAATAATATTATATTTACATAAATATGATAAGATTAATACAAGACAAAATACTTATAATAATAATAATATTTAATATATTATGAGTACATAAATATATAAATAATATTATATCATATTAAATAGATAATAATAGAACTTATAAGTAAAATGGCATTAAAAAAAAAAAGACAAACAAAGATGGTAAAAAGAATATGGTTTAAAAAGAGTGTAAATGCAGTTTTAAACGGTTTTTAAAAGTATTATACGTTTTGGCGCCTCTAACGCTCAAAGGGAGAGAATTCCAAAGTCGTGAGGCTGTTACACAGAATGATTTATCACTAAATGAAGTGGAATGAGGAGGTATTTTTAAAATTAAATTTTGACAGGTACCGATTTATTACCGATGACCATACAAACTTTCATTCCCATTTTCACTCTCATAATGGTAGGGGAGCCCAAGAGGGGATTTTTGTAGTTACTCAAGCGCGGCAGATTAACATAAAAGAGATTACCTTGCACTCTATTGAGTACTTTCACCATAATATAAGTCTTCTATATAAAGGGGCGCGTCTAGGGAAGCCGATTAAAATATTTAAAAAATGTTTTGATAAGGTAGAAATACTTGAAACCGTCAGATTAAGGTGTGGTAGGCTAGTCACATCCTGAAAAGTGTCCAATTCAATAATCTGCCGATTTGCACAAGCCGAAGAGGCAAAAATCGACTATAAAGTTTATGATGATTTTTGCCTCTTCGGCTTGTGCAAATCGGCAGATTATTAAATTGGATACTTTTCAGGATGTGACAAGCCTACCACACCTTAATCTGACGGTTTCAAGTATTTCTACCTTATCAAAACATTTTTTAAATATTTTAATCGGCTTCCCTAGACGCGCCCCTTTATATAGAAGACTTATATTGTGGTGAAAGTACTCAATAGAGTGCAAGGTAACCTCTTTTATGTTAATCTGCCGCGCTTGAGTAACTACAGAAAATCCCCTCTTGGGCTCCCCTACTATAAGGGATGATTTCCGGAAAAAGCATGTCCTACCCAGGGTCTCAAACTATCTTCTTACCAAATTTCATCTAAATCGGTTCAGTAGATCCAGAGATTATCCCCTACAACGTCACAAACTCACAAACTTTACCTCTAAATAATATTAAGTATAAACTAGCGACTTCCCCCCGCTTCGCTCGGGTGCGTCCCTAGTTACGTTTCATTTAGATAAAAAACGTTATTGTCAGTGTACCTTAGCCTTACGCAGTATGTGCGTATCTCACACACATACTATCGTGGTCTTTTTTATGAAATCGTAAAAATTTGCGTAATTCTTAAGAATATTGTATGTACTTGAGACAGTATAGTACCAGTAGACTACATGTGTACTTTTGATACAAACCCGACTAGCGGTTTCGTCATGAAGAAGTAACAAGAAGGCAGCGGTAGCCCAGTGGTAACGCGCTCGCTTGGGGAACTGAGTGAAGCAGGTTCAATTCCGGTGAATGATCAGATGAAATATCGTGCGCGAATCATTTTCAACATGATTACCACTTGTCATACGGTATTTTAGCAACTAACCTAGCAAACTTTGAACAAAAACAAGACATGTGCAGTCCGCCAACCGCAATCGCACTTGGCCAGCGTGGTGGACTATGGCCTGATCCTCTTCGTGTTGATGGGAGGCCCGTGACCAACAGTGGGATATTAAAAAGAGCTGAACAAGGAAGGAGTATAAGTATAATATGTACCTTTTCAAACATTTAATAAGGCCATGTATTTGTGCGAAGACGACCAGCCGTCGCACGTCAAAGGGCACTCCGGGAGATGGGAAGTACCGCTCGCACACAGCGCGCAACGTCGTACCTTGTTGCAGGGAGCACAGCACGCCTAGAACATCTGACAGGACCGGCTGTAAACAAATTAATTTTGATAATATCTTTATATATATAATTCTTCTGTGAGTGTGTATGTCACTAAACTTCTCTCAAACGACTGGACCGACTGATGAAATTTTTTGTGTGTGTTCAAGGGGATCTGGGAATGGTTTAGATTCACAATTTGAATAATAATTTTCATCAAAAAAATTATTAAAAAAAGTTTGAAATTTTCAAATTAAAGACGTGTAGACAGGACAACGTCTGTCGGGTCCGCTAGTATCTATATATTAATACGTGAAGCAAAAACTTTGTACCCCTTTTTATATATTGATATTTTATATATTTTGTTTTAAAATAAAAAAATATATAAAATATCAATTCATCTCAACAAAAAATCTTTTGTGACCTTATTAAGTTAATTAACTAGTAACCTTGAAAAAATATTAGCGAAAATCAGAAACTAACAACATTACAAAACCTCTGGTGATTACCTGAAAATCATTTTGCATTAAAAATCATGTTTTTATAAAAATCTATCAATATATAGGATATATTATATTTTAATATACATTTTAAACTGTAAATCAGATTTTATTATCCTGTTTTACTCAATAATTTTACAATTGGATTTTGTTTTAAAATCACATAATCTAATCTAATATTCTAAAAAGATAAAGTTTGTGAGTTTGTGAGGTTGTAGGGAGTAATCTCTGGATCTACTGAACCGATTTAGATGAAATTTGGTAAGAAGGATTCGAGACTCTGGGAAGGACATAGGATAATTTTTATCCCGGAAATCAACTTTTAATGGGGTGAAAATGGAGATGAAATATTGTATGGGGAATCAAGCAGTATTGATATAATTTGTTTTCAATATTTTAAGCTAGCTGGCAGAATAATCACGCGCCCATATGTACTAGTGACGTATATTCAGGTGGGTAGTACCTAAGTTTCGTCCAAATCGAACAAACACACATATAAAAACTTTTGCAATTATAATTTTAGTCCAATTCAACATACTCCTTAAATGTTTTTGGAGTGAGTTTTGGTTTAGAGTGGAAAAGTTATACACAAATATTATTTTTCTGGATTCCATTTCATACTAAATATACTATTGATCAAATACACAACACACACAGACACGCACACACACACACGTGCGCACGCGCAACGCCGAGATATATTGCTAGTAATTATATGTATAAATATAAAATATAACCTTTTCTTTATCTTCACAACCATTATTTATGAATGCGAGGCAGGATTTCTGCATCTCATGATCACTGAACAGTCTGCTAAGATTTGGCGTGGCGCGATACATGTTGCTGAATTTCAATACTGGTATTAATGTCACCTGAAATTAACAGACAGAATGAATATACCTCACTATTTCTGCTCTGAGAGAACTATCTATTATGGTTCTTTTTTGGTCCCTGACGTTTCGAATGCTTTACAGCCATCATGGTCATGGAGGAGACTAAGGTTTTAGACGTTTAAAAGGTCATTATATACATATGGTATATCTCCCGTGACCATGATTGACGTAAACCATTAAACATCGGAAACTAATAATTAATGTAAATAATATATTAAAATATTCGAAAAGATAGTTTTATTTAAGATGTCAAATATTCGCATAAATCTGAGAAAGTATTATTCAAATATCATATTATTAATCTTTGTTGCCTATTAAGTTCAAAAGATTACGTTTTTTTTATTATCGAATCTATACCGTGACATTTTTTTTTAATCTATACATATAATAAAATTCTAACTGAGTCGAATCTGTACATTAAACATTTTTTGGAAAATCTTATTGAAATAGTCATTATTATCGATACAGAGAATATAGAGATTTTGATTAAATTTGGTATGATGGTAGCTGATCATCCGGGTCAACTACTTTTTACTGCGGGAAAATATCTCATTTCTGAGAAATCTGTACTAACAGTCAAAAAGTTTGTAAAATCTATAAAAACTATATAAATATGTAGTAATGCCAGCAGTTAACATAAGTTATGATGATGAACTTACCACTCCATAATAGACTAAGTTTTGTATGCAGGACTTCACGAGGGTCTTCTCTACATTTGTGTCGGATGCTATTTTGGAAACGTGGTTGTATCCATTTATGTGTGGGAGAAGCTAAAAATTTATTCAATGTTTATTTTTTGTAAGCCTTTAAGTATTATTTTTGAAAAAAAAAATAGTAATTTTTACATAGAAATTTTAATTATAAACTGTTCCTGAATTAATACGATAGTTAAATGTTAGTGTATTAAATAAATAAAAGAATATGCTTAAAAAGACTTCTTTTAAAGCGATGAAGATAATTTAATTTAAGATATCAGTCAGATTTAAACATTTATTTTTGCATGTTACAGACTGTTTATTAAAACAAGTTTTATATTTATCGACATAGGAGTTTAGCAATTTTACACACTAAGTATCAAAGAAATATATTGGGATAATCTAAAAAAAAACAAATATACATTGTAATGTAAACTATCTCTTTGCAATTTAATAATAATATATTATACCAATTTTAGTATAATATAGCAAGATATAAACATCCAAGAGTACTTACTAATAACATAAATTTCCATTAGGAGAGAATTTACTAAATTAGGCTCAACTTAAGTTTCTTAGTAAAAAACCGAAAACTTTTTTCAAACATTGTTTAGGCATAATTAAAATAAATGAATGCAAAATTATTAACCTGTCGTGTAGTCAGATCCCAATCTGCATCCATATCGACCTCGAAAGGTTCTTCATCCTCAATATCCAGGTGTTCTTGACTTTGTATTTGTTCTGTGCCCTCTGGTGGGACTGTCCGGGGTGGCCTCCCAGGCCGGGGCAACCCTACTGAGGCAACTAGCACTGGTACATCGAAGTCGTGCACTGGGGCCGGGTCTTTACGGACTTCTAGAACTTTCAAATGCATCACTGTGTCGCCCTCTGAAAAGTTATGAAATCCTTGTTCATTACATAATATTGAGTTTAAGAAAGTGAAGGTGTACACAAATTATGGATATGAATAATTTCATTTGTCATTAGCTGTACTAACTGACAAAAAAATCCAATGAATTTGACTAATCTTTTTTTACAATATAATTTATATTCAATTGAATATATAATTAATTTAATTATATAATATATATAATTTATTTTATTGAAAAGAACTGTGAATATTAATTTACAATCTATACAGATAAATATAAGTGTCTGTCTGTAATGTGTAAATAACTTCTTTTTGCTAAATGCATATTTTGACAACAAAGCAAATTTGACAACTAAATTAACAAAATAATGTTGCACAATAAATCTCAATTGTTGTGAAATAAATTTTAATATAAAATTTCACTTTTGTTTAAAATATCTTATAAGAAATAGACCAATATACATATTTCATACCAACTAATGTCGCTTTTCTATATGTGTTCAGATCATGCAATAGATGGGCGAGAAGTGTTGGCAGCTTCGTTGACCCACTTGACACGAAGCGAGTTTCCTCTTCCATGATTGTCTGTATGAATTGTAATTAGTCATAATTTATCAAATGCTTATATTGCACTTTGATATATTATTTATGCCATTTCTATGCTGCATGTACTTTTTATTCAATGACATCAAACAAATATTTCCATATAAGTTTGTCGGTTAGTCTTTATTTCACAAAGCAATTTGTAGAGAAAGTTTTTGTGTTTACAATATTAATTGTACATACTAATTAAAACCTCCAGGTAAATTTCTAAGAAATTAATTAAATTTGTAAGAAATCTATAGTTAACTGTAACGCTGGCGTGTTCGCGCTCGTGGAGGGATTAAAGAGTCAAAGTAATCATCAAATCATCATAATTTATTGCTCCACTTTAGTTTAAGTAAATTTTAACATTTATATATAGACAATTATTTAAAAATTTTAAGTAAATTATAGCATCCAATTTTTTAATTACAGAAAATTATAATAAAGGGGCATAAGCAGATATAATAATAATGTCACCCTGACCGATTTCGGATACGGCGGCACAACTTGCACTCTCTATTCCTTTGATTGATTTGATAGTAATCAAAGTCCCATGGGACTATACTTCACATGTTTTCCGAGGGTGAAACACTGCAACTTCCCAACTCTGAGCTGTTACTAAGAATATCTTAACAGAAAGACTCTGTAAATAAACTTGCCTGCCCCGGACCTGGAACCTAGGACCTCAGTATCAGCAGCCGTACAAGCTGCCACTAGACCACCGATACATATATGATAGTCTTATAAGGACTTACCAAATGTTCACCAAGTTTTTTAACAACTGGTTCATATTGTACAGTTTTAGACCAGCTATCACAGACAAAACATAAGTTGAACAAATACATATTCCGTTCATATCTGGAATTATCTATCCTGATGGGGTAGCCAATTATTTTGTGGCCCAGTGCATTTCTAAAAACAAAAATATAATATACAAATAAATCTAGCTTTTAAAATATTTATCTTCAATGTTTATTTATCTACTAAATGTTATATTATTCTGTTGTTTAGTTTGTTGTAAATGCTGGGTGTTTTAACTATATATTTTGAATTTATTATGCAAAATATATTATGGATTTTACCTTAGGTAACGATTATACATTGTGTAACCTGACTGATGGATCAAAGCCAGCAGGGAAGTTAAGGAACTCAAAACCTATTGATTTAACCCCTGTGTATGTTCATTATGTGGATTTAAAAAAAACAAATAGTGTAAATAAGATTTTACACTAAGCTTTGCAAGTACAGCCGAAGTATCAACTATATCATAGTGGTTTTTTTACTATTGAAATACATTTTTAGCATATTACCCCAACTCTGGAATAAAAGTTGCAAGATCTGTTCCCAATCAAATTAGCATAAAGATTAGGATTAATAAATGTACAAACCCTAAGAACACTTTTTTACATGAATATATTTGACAGATGCATCCTGACATGTCTAACATATGAATGTGAAATATTATCATCCCTGACTAAAACTTATAGGGAGAAACTAGAAAAATGCCAACAAGCAATTGAGCACAGTATGCTGGAAGCGGAAGGAAAAAATGAGAAATGAAACCATCACATTAAAAGTGCAAGCAACCAACATAACATTATGTATCGACTATCAACCAATCAAAATAATGGACAGGTCACCTATTGAGATCCAGCATACCGAAATGGAGTTAAATAGTAGTAGTAATGACATACTGGTACCCCAGAGAAGGCAAGAAGAAGAAGCAGATAAGGAAAGGAAAAAACTAGGACCACACTGGACAAGAGGAGCTCTGGATAGATCTCAATGGCAAAAGTTGGAGAAGGCCTTTGCCAACAGGCACATGAAGACATTATTTAAAACTAAAATGTATCAACATATAACAATATTTATAATATTTACAATATATACTGTACTCTTTTCTCTGAATAAAGGCAACTTACTTGAATACATTTTTCAAATGAAGCCTTGCTCAAATAAAATTTGTTAGGTTTAGTCTTTAAAAATTGGTGCAGTTTTTAAAAAAAAGTTGTCAATAAATATTTTTTTAAGAACTGTGAAAGTTAGAGATAAATATAAATTAATCAAGTTATTCAGGATGATTGAAAAAAATTTCTTAAATTCTTTTAGAAAATTCTATCAAAAACTATTATAATAGTAATAAGACTCCTTTAGAGAAAAAAAAATTAAGATATAGTTGATACTTCTTGTTGTTGTGTGAAATCTAGTTTTCACTAATAATATTTTTAAATCCAAATAACTTTGGAAACACTAAAAATCGCTGAACATACATGAGGGTTAAATTGATATGTATTGAGGTCCTCAACCTCCATTTCAGCTTACAATGTAGTTATAAAATTATGAAATAATGTCAATAATGTGGCTTTTGTGCCTAAACAACTAGTGTAAAGAAAGTCTATACAACTGGCATGAAAGTCTTCACTTCTTCTGTCTTTTTCTAATTTATAAAATGTTTATAAACATCATTATATTTACACACTACATACATGTTATTATTTTATTGCAGAACTTACATTGTCATTGTACATTTCTGTATTTGAGGTTTTGGAATGATGTAAGCACTTATTGAATCAAACAGCTCTTTAGAAACATAGTCCTCTGGAAACTAGAACAAATAAAACAAAGAAATTTATTTCATGTTAAATACAACTTATGAATATTCAAATATATTTCTCAAAAAGAAATTAAAATAAGATGATAATATTATTAAATTAAACTATATTTATTAAAGATGAATCTTTTTATTATTATTAGTATAGATTAAAATACTAATAATAATAAAAATAATGTCCTCTTGACCTATCCCAGCCATGGTGGATAATTTCATTGAGACTAACCAACTGCGCAGGAAATATTATAGTGCACAAGTGTACGCACAGACACAAGTGCACTCTCTATTCCTTTTACTCTCATACTCCAGTGGGACGACTACTCGACATGACAGGTGAGAGTTGGCACAGTACCGACGGCTTTACAAGCTCTCCGAGGTACAGGGATGATACATCGCCAACTTCCCTACTCCGGGCTATTACTGAGGCTTACTATACAGAAAGACTCAATAACTAAAATTGGGATTCGAACCCAGGACCTCTGTTGGTGCATCCGTACATGCTAGCCACTACACCACGGAGGCAGTTAATCTATATTAATATTAAAAGAGGCCGAGTTTGTTTGGTTGAACGTGCTAATCTCAGGAACTATTAATACGATTTGATTTTTTTTTGCTTTACAGCTGGTTTATTCAGGAAGGCTATAGGCTATATATCATACCAGATAAATGTCCGGTTTCGTGGTATCCCACGTCCCTAGACAAAAACAAATCGATACATTAGACGAACCCGAAGCGAAGCGAGGGTGAGTCGCTAGTGTACTTATAAAATTATGAATAATGTCAATAATGCAGCTTTTGTGCCTAAACAAGCATATAGAAAGTCTATATAACTGGCATGAAAGTCGTCACTTCTTCTGTCTTTTTCTTACTAATTTATAAGATGTTTATAAACATTTGACGTAATGCGCACGTTGACAAAGCCAAGAAAAAGTTTTTATCTTACTTGACACGATATTTTGGGTCCTGCGACAGGGTGAAACTCCCCCAGAAATATGCAACGGATAGGACCTTCGCGTCCACATCCTTCGTAATAACGTGTTTCCATTATTTTTGAGGACATCAAGTCGATATTTGCACCTACACCGTTGTCATGCTCAACTTCTGATACGGAATCGAGATAGACTTGCATTGGACAAAACTATGAGAGCATTTTAAAAAAATCAACAGGGGCAACTATTCTCACTACTTCATGACAAATAATTACTTATAAAAAATTTAGAAGAATCGCGTGACATTTTACTGTGCATTTCCAAGAAATTGAACTAATTCGTAATCATTTATCATTGAACGTCATATGTCAAATGTCAATTTTCTTATGACCATAGACTATTAACAGCTTTTTAGACTAAAATATATTTACATTTACCACCCTGAGAGAAAATATTTAATAAAAAATTTAAATATAATATGATTTTTTTTCGACTAATGAACTATTTTTATTAATTTCATAATATGTAGCTGTCGCTTCGCTTGCTTAAGTTACACCTACCTTTGGATCGATTATAATGAAAATCAACAATCTACATAATTTGATATAATACGATCATCTTACACTATGATGAGTGATGACTGATTAATGATTATGAATGTAATAAATAACGAGAACCAAATATTTTTAATACTGTTGATTTATATTATAATAGCGACTCACCCTCGCTTCGCTCGGGTTTGTCCTTAGGTGCGTTTTACCGGTTAGTATGAAATAGACTATATTATATTAATGTATGTATATATATATATATATATACATAGTCTTGCCCTAAATATTGTTACAATGAAAAAAACATTTTTTTATTACACGTAACATTATTATTACAGTGTGTTAGTTTAATACAAAATATAAAGCTTAAAAAAAAATATATAAAGCTTTTTCGAAGTGGTCGCCATTTCCATGGGAAAATTCTTCACTGCCAATCGTATGGATTGTTTTAGGGACTCCAAATTATCATGGCATTTAAAGCAAGCCATACTCTCTAAAACTGACCATAAATCATAATCCAGCGGATTAATATCGGGCCTAGATGACGGCCATTCTTCAGCTCTGATGATGTTTTTAGGTTTCTAACCAAGATTGCGTGGATCGAGCTTTATGACCCGGTGCCGAGTCTTGCTGAAAGGAACGGATCATTCTTGGTTATTGAACATGGTGTTGTTAGGAGCTTAACTACCTTTTCAAGAATGGTATCTTGATCACTTGTGTCGATGTTTTGATACATTTTTCACAAAAAAGTGGCTCAGTTACTCCTTCATAGCTAACACCCCACCAAACCATCACAGATGACAGAAGTCGGATAATGCCCACGTTGCACTCTGTTGAGTGATTGGGAAGCTTCCTTAGAGGTTTAAACATAAATACGGTTATTTTGTTTGTTAAAATATTGCTCCATTATAAAAATTTTCTCATCCGTAAACTAAATTTATTCTGTGATCTCCCTTTGCGTACCGTTTAAGTAGTTGTTTTGATATTACCACCTTTTTTTAAATATACGCGACATGGTTCTAGGTGCTATCTTCATCTCCGGAGATAAAATCTTTTGCTTTCGGACAGGATTTCTTCGAACTCTTTCCCTTACTGCTTTGATCGCTTTTTTCGTACGAACACTACGTGAACGGCCAGCTCTTTTTCTATCACAAACAGAGGAGGTTTCATTGTACCTATCAATAGCCCGGTACACAAACATTTGACTAATACCAAGCGTATGGAGAGTTTTAAAAATTGTATTTGGCTCCATACCTACTTTGTGTAATGCAATCACAGCGATTTGCTTCTCTTTATCACCCCACTCCATTTTAATATCACAAAATATTTTAGAATGTATTGACGCGAAAATGAAAAAACACAATGAACAATCATATAAAAATAACAGATTACAAAATTCAAATGTAAAATGTTGTTTATTTTTAATATATATATATATATACGTGTGTGTTTATTTGAGAAATGATGTATTCCCCATACAACTTTCCTCCCCTTCTTCACCTCCTCTTAAGGAATGATTTTCAGGATAAGAACTATCCTATGTAGTTCCCATGATCTCAAATTATCTTCGTACCAAGTTTCATCTGAATCAGTTCAGAGGATTTTTAGCTTATCCATTACAAACAAAAATACAAATAACAAAAAAAACATTTTTACTCCTTATAGTAGTGGTATAGATTATATGTATTACTTCTATTCTTATATCACTTCAAATGCCTTTGAATACAGCAGCTGGTTAAGAAATATTTAATATAGGTAAGGTTGGTTAAGAAATACTTAACATATTTTGTTATTGTGTTTTATGTTGCTGGATGTAATAAAACGTACAAAAAGTTTTTTATTTACCGGGGTTCCTTTTCACTACAAATAATATTTTTTTTTATACAAGGCGTAATTCTAAGTCTTCTTTCTTAGAGTAGCATGTTCTATTATTTAAACTTTAAGGAAAATGTGGTTGTTTTTACTTTTCATCAAACTGTATATTGTTTGATTTAACTATGATGATATGATGACGAAAGTATATCATCAAGGTCTTAGAATAATTGTAAATTATGTACAGTTTAGGTTCCGAATATATTAATTTCATGTTTATATCCGTTTGTGTAATGGAATTTTTACGTTCTAACGTTTCTATGTCAGGCTATCTTTCAGGTTTTGAGTAACTGTTTACTACCTGTTTTTTAAAGGACTTGCGGCTGTTGAGCCTAAAGCCGTTCTATGTGTTTGTGTGTATCTAACTTTTGTGACATAAGTACAATTTACCTTAGGCGTAGGCAATAGTGTGAAATATTTAAATATATTTCGGCGAAATGTTAGAAATCTTTTTATTATCAATTTATTTTACAAAAATTGCGTTGAGACTGCTAAAAATAAAATAAAAAATCAACCTCTTGGTCACAGAATTGGAAAATAGCACTTGAGCTTTTCATGTGTGCGCTCTCATATAAAGAGTTCATATGGAGTAATATTATTATGATCGTTATATAGCTCATTATCTAATACTATACTTCAAGTATAAAATTAAAGGAAAATCTAGTTATTTACTTTAATCCATAATTATTTACAAAAGATTTACCTACTCGAGACGGTCATTGACCAAGTTAGTATTAAATTGTATTAGTCGATGTTCTTATTTAGGTGTCGCTCTCATAACCTTAATTTTAGTAGATAATTGAATAAAACTTATTAAGTGATCGGGCAACGAACTAGACGTATTAAGCAAATTCCTAGAGGGACTTTCTTCTAGCGAGTGTTTCACATAGATTTTTATAACAACAAGAAAATATTATATTTATATATTTGCTTAGTTAAATATATAATTAGACATTTTCCAAAAACCAACTTATTTCAATGCATGCAAAATTTTTACAACTTAGGTTCTTAAAAGAGCATTAATTAATAATTAATGTTTGGGATGGAGAGGAATTCAAAAATCAATGTTATAATACTAATAATATTATTTATTATTTTTCTAAACAGCTAAGACAGACGGTTTCGACGGAATTATCTATATATTCTTCAAAAAAGAAATTGTAATAGATAAATTTAAAAATTAAAGAAAAAAAGTGCTGAAGTTTATGGTTTTATTTCATTCATTATTCATTCCATCATAATCTGAATGATGACATGATCAAATGGTGAAAATTGGCGGTTTTAACAAACCTGCCTACTATGGTGTATGGAACTGGATAGTACCTATAGTATGTTTATGAGATAGGAGTGACGTTAATTGATTACGAATTTAACGCACATACACATATGATTCGCCACAGACGAAAATAGAAGAAGAAGCTCGTTAAATATAAAAGAATTTTTCATGTATAAAATTATGTAGGTCACAATAAAATTTTACTTCCAGGAAATCTTTGTGTGGCAAATGACATAATAGAAAAGTAAAGTGATATCCATGATTAAAAAGCTTTATGAAATATCTCTCAATTTAACTTTTATTAGATTATTTTTCAATATTTTTCCTGCTTTCAGTATCGACTCGCTGTAATTTGGTTTGGGGTAGGCATAACACATTGACCTAGAAGGCAGGTGACAGATTCTGTCCGTGAACCGGGAAGTGTTCTCAAGGTTAAACTTGCGCATGCGAGCTGTGAACGTAGATAAATGAAGTGACTTTGTAAGGACGTATTCGTAATTTATTTTTTAGTTCTACTATAAACAAGTGGAGGTGCTTTTAGGACTTTACTTTTTACCATAATATATTTTTAATGCGTTTGTTATTCGAAAATGTCTTTAAAAATATTATTTTATTTTTATTTATATTCAATTTAATTTTAATTCTGAATAAATAAATATTTCAGTAATAATTAAATAAAAATGTTTTATATGAAAAAAAAAGAATTATTTATGGATTGAATTATGTACGTCCTACAAAAGTTGTAGCATACATTTTCCGCCCTAGGCTTTTTCTGATTTCAATCCGAAAACTCGCCTTCTGAATGTCATAAAATGTTTTCTTCCGTATAAAATGAAAAGTTCGACCTATTCTATTATTCTGCCTTCACCATCGGTTGAAGCATCACCACCATGGGGCCCTATAAAGATTTGAGTGAACAGTGACATAGTTACAAACAATTATTATGAGTTGTTCGGTGCTCGTAGAGGCGACTTCCTCTAACATAGATGATGACCTCTACACGTAAGTTTTTATTGATATGTTTATAAAAATGTATTGTTAAAATAAATATTTTTTCTATGCAAAGATTATATTCTTGTGTTCTTCAAACAATTAATGATTTTGAAATAAATCGATGCTAGGTCACTGCCAAGTGCGCTATTTCACGTCCTTGATATTGTAGTAACGATAGCTGTATATATACGAGTACATTGTTCTTTATGGATGTACTGACCAAGTAACTGGATGATGTGGGCACATCTATAAAAAATATCACTTATTTTTGAGTATATTAGACAAATATATATATATATATATATATATATATAAATATATATATATATATATAAATATATATATATATATATAATATATATATATATATATATATATATATATATATATATATATATATATATATATATATATATATATCTAGCGACTCACCCTCGCTCCGCTCGGGTTCGTACCTGGGGTGGGGTCTGGGAGGACCACCCTTATCCTTATCACTTAGGGGTATGGAAAATAGATAGTAGCCGATTCTCAGACCTACTGAATACGCATATAAAATTTGGTAAAAATCGGTAAAGCCGTTTCGGAGGAGTACGGTAACTAACATTATGATATGGATATTTTATATATTAGAAGATATATATATATATATATATATATATATATATATATATATATATATATATATATATATGCCTAATCTCAAGTTGCTAAAAGACAGGTTGTCAAGTTAGGGGGAGGCCTATAGAGCATCTACTCGTTTCTTGATATCTTCCAATATCAGTATCGATCAAACGACATATGTGAAATCGAAAGGAATCGACACCGCAACCATGTGAGCACTAAGCAGTGGGAAGATACAAATCCCACTGCACCATATCACTAATTGAACATTGAACAATGTCATGAAAATAGTTTATATTTATATAAATTTTCAGACGTAGACTTTTATTACAGTGTTGACAGCATTTACTTCGCTGGACATACGTCGATTTAAGTATATAATAATTGGTGTTAATCAGGAACTACAATTGTTCTTTGATTGAGATGAACGAAAGCTACTTTTTTTCGCATTTCCGCATTTTTTTAACTTATATATGATTTCTCCTTCAAAATTTAATAAGAACCAACATATTACTCTATTAGACAAGCTATGAGCGAAATTGAAGGTCGCTTGTTCACGATGTATTCGTGTTTTCACTTTTTCACGTCAGTTTTGCAGCGGTCAATATGTCGTTAAAATATTTCATGTACCGGATTTGACCATTCTACGAATTTATTTCACATGAATAAGCTGTTGCCCGCTGCTTGTTAGTTGTTCCAAACAAGTTTCAGTATAAAATGAAAACCTTTCAGATATTATACTTACTTATGGCGAGTGAATTTATGAAGTTTTTTTATGGAAAGATGTAACTTAAACTGTTAATATAAGTTATTATCGAGGCAATATTGTAGTATAGGTGCTATCTCTGAAGTTCCGAATCATTATTTATCCTGGGGCACCTAGGATTAGCTGTTATGAACACTCACATAGGGAGGTAATAAAAGCCCCCCTCCCTCCAGCATGTGTGGATAGAAGTACGCACCGCTATTTTTAAGATGTTACTAATATGGATGCTGGTTTGGTATATGCACTTGAAAAAACGTAAAGCCGTCGTCTTTTTTTGATGGAACATGATCCATAATTATTCCAGTTAAGCGTCAATACGACTAAAAACTGTTTAGATCAACAGGGGCATACGTCATCCATGTAAAGATGGGCGTATTTTCGTTTTTTTTTACCTAAAACGATTCAAGTAAAATATTTCCGCGTTGAATTTTATTTTGATATCCTTAGGAATTAGATATCAGAACTTCAAATATTTTTCGGCTTTTGGCCAAACTCTCTATACACCTGAGTGCTAGCAACTTCCCTGGTTAGCGAATATGCAGGGCGATTAGAAAGCACTTTCCCATCATCATCTACCATCACTTTTTCCATTACAATTTTAAAAAATAAAGTAAACTTGAAAATTAAATTAAGGTTTTGCAAAGCCAAGGAGCTCTTTCCTGCTTGTTGCTCTTTCCATTTACGTGTACAAAAAAACTGACAAACTACTAGCTTGTTAACAACTAACTTGTTACTCAGTGCCTATCTTGTATAACAGAAGTGATGTAAAATACGAGAAAGTTATAATTTTATAATCATAGAAGTTTTCAAAATGAATGCCAGCCACGTTATTGTCATTTATTGTGAAAGAAAGAAATTCTGTATTCAGAGTAGGAAAAGATTTCCAAAATTAATATATTTATAATATACTAGCGACTCACTCTAGCTTCGCTCGGGTTCGTCCCTAGCTTGCTTCCCAATACAAACTTACATCCCCATTTTCACCTCCTTAAGGGATGATTTCCTGGATAAAAAGTATCCTATGTCCTTCCCAGGGTCTCAAAATATTTACTTACCAAATTTCATCTAAATGGATTCTGTAAATCCAGAAATTACCCCCTACAACGTCACAAACTCATAAACTCACAAACTTTACCTCTTTATAATATTAGTATAGATTATGATAATTAAATAGAATAAATGTATTACTTTCTTGATTAATTTGAACGCGTTTATCTTTGGAACTTTAAATTCGATTAAAAAAAATCATCAAACCTTTAAAAGTAGATCAGCATAACATACATAAATTAACTAAGCAAGTGAAACTACGGGTAAAAGGAAGCTTATAAAAAAGTTGTTGCCTATTACTTCAAAACTCATGATAGTCTCAAGGAACATTTTAGAATTCTTTCATAATCCTACTAATAATAATGTATGGATTGGATGTAGGTATATTTGTTACTCTTTCACGCAAAATCTACTAAATGGATTTTGGTGAAACGTCTCAGTAATATAGCTTAACTTATACCTCTTTTTTACTACTCCCTCTTACTTAAAGGAACGCTTTAATTTTCAAGGTTCGGACGCCTCTGGTTTGCAACTTAGGTCTCAGAGCGACAACCGTTTGAAATTACCATCTTGCACCACAAATTACTATGGTAACTCTTTTACCGTAAAAGCTGCAAAGCTATGGAATATGCACTCCAATGATGTTCGCCATTCAAACTCACTAAATATTTTTAAACGTCGTCTAATTATTATCTGTCTTGTTAGGTATTGAGTATGTATGTATATACTATGAATTTATGTGCATTTATGTATCTATATGTATGTATGTATTTATGTATATGTGTACGTATATATTATACATGTATATATTTTTGTCTTATGTATGTATTATTGTTTGTAAACGTAGTTCATCATGCCTGTATTTAGCGTTAATTGTACCGTCCCGTCTACGCTTCCACTAATCCTTTCACCAAAGGTTGTCTGTAAGAGATTGCTCGTAGCAATAAGACCGCCTTTGTATGTCTCTTTGTTATTTTTCTTTTCATCTTCTATACTCTTCTTTTCTGTGTACAATAAAGTATTTATCTATCTATCTTTTTACACATAGGCTACAATTTATAAAAATATAGTAACACGAAATGGAACAACGCGTGCAGAGCCGCAAAATTTTTTAATATGCAAAGAATATGTCAAAAAGATATATTTTTTTAAATAAATACGAGATATGTGTAATGTGTATCTATATATCCTGCATGTCTTAACGGCGAGTGCTCTTGTCTCCAGGGTCCGTTTTAGATGTAGGTAAGAATCTGATAATAATTTCACAGTGAAGCGAGCGATCATTTAATTATTAGCTGGAATAGATTATTATCGACGACACCTGCTTTAATTCACTTCATATGGAATTAACCCACTTTCTCGATTGAAAAACATGGTAATATATTTTAAGATTATACACCTTCATTATAATATAAATCTTAGAGTTTATGGGGGCGCTCTATAAAGGTCATATTGTAGGTTCAATATTTAAGGAGATTGGTTAAACAAATAAAATACCTTATTAGTTCTACTTCAAATATATATTATTATTATAAGAAAAAAGATTTAATATCTATGAATGTTTACTTACATGAATGCCTATTTTAATATACGTACTGCTACGATTAAATAATAAGTCTATTTATTCGCAGACGTACTGTAATTGTGTAAGTATGTATGTATATCTACACTGAGACATTATATTACATACGGTTTGTATTTAGAGGTAAATTTTAAAACGAATGAAACTCTATCACTAATAGAAAGCTATAATGTACTACTACCGCCGACTGCTAGACTCTATTTTTTAATCAAATAGATATGTATTTACTATCAGAAATCATGGTAACTATATACAATTAAAAATGGCGTTGAGTTTATTGTTAGGCACCTAGAGACGCACCTGAGCGAAGCGTATATACTTATATGCATAAGAAATAATAGCAAAGATAAACGTACACATTTTTTCAACCGACTTCTTCAAAAAGAAAAAGGATTTCGATTCGGCTGTATTTTTTTTATTGTGTTGTATGTTGGTACTCCGTCATTTGTTAACCGATTTGGTCAATTTTTGTTTTGTTTGAAAGTGTATACTTTCAATTTGTACTCATTTAAATTAAAAAAAAAACCGCTTCTTAGGGTGGAAAAATAGATACTTTTAATTGTCATATTAAGATGAAACTTTGCAAGTGTTTCTATTTCCTGTATTGGTTGTGTATCCTCGACCTGATCTGATGGCAAGGCCAGAAGGTGGATAGGTGGAACTCTTCAACGGCTAATAGTAGATACTTTGAGTTTGGGCCTATTTTGTTCGATTTGACAAGCCCAATACGTTAGAATTGGATTTTAGAGCCAGAATTTTTAGTGTAAATATTAAAAGCGAATTTTAGTTGGTCAGTCTTCATATAAAAATTGGTATCAAACTAAATTATACGGCTTAAGCGAATATTACATGTATAACAATACTTTCTTCTTCCTTTTCTACTACTATGTCTACACTAAAATGGGAAAAAATAAAACATTTTAATAAAAAAATGAAAAACCGATTTCAAAAAAAAAAACACTATAAAGTAAAAAATAACTGATTGGTAGTTGCAATTTACTATATGTATTATGTAGATACCTAATCAAATATTTTCGAAGTCGGTGTGAGCCGATACACAAAGTAGATCGACTAGTAGAAGTACATATTAAAATATTCTGAAATTTCAGAGTACTTATTAAGGTACTTTAAAGTAGTATGTAAAAAGTTTAATTATTATTTTTGAAGACTATTTCAATTATAGGTATACGTCGTACGTCAAATGCTTTTCATTCATATATTGTATTTTGTTACCGACGAATTTGTGAATATAATTCGAGGCGGACGGTATATCGACAGTTTAATGCATAAGCGATTTTCGTCAATTTACTTTGCAATTCAAATTGTGAATCCTGTCGCAGCTCTGGTGAGTGAAAAAACTTCATAAAAACCGGCACGTCCTTGAAGGTATAGGCAATAACCTACTGGCCGTGTTCTTCAACATTTAGACGAGAATTTGTTTGCCTACAAATAGTGATATTCTGTGTTACCATGACAATGTATCACAATTCTATAATTAATTTGGAACAAATTCATAACCTTTTATCAAAATGGTAGAGAGATTTACATGATATACAGTGTCAAAAAAAGATAATACTTGTAATAGACATTTAGCAGCTGCTTATAAATTCGGTGTTAGGGTATAATAATGTATCATACACTCAAAAGGAATAAAAAATGAGTATGTTCAATTCAATATCCGCCGCACTTGTAACATTAAAACACTGTAAAAATAGAAAGATATTTTAATGATTTTAATTCTATTAATTTATGTATATAGCATTTATGAATAGCAACGTTACTGACATGTATCAAATAAGCCATTTCAAGTTGACTGAAAAGTCTAATTTCAGGCTTTATAGGTCGAGTCTAACCTGACAATGCCAGCGAAGCGGAACATCCACGCTTTAATATTAGAACGACGCCGAACGTTTTAACACGCCCATGTTGATTACATACCTACTATGTGCAAATAAAGACGTTATATATATATATATATATATATATATATATATATATATATATATATATATATATATTTCTATGTTTTCTTTTAAATATGGAGTTTTTTTAACTTGCGTCTATTAAGCACTTAATGTCAATATTTACTGCAAGATACGCTTTAAAGTAATATATTTTGCATTTTTATAAAACTATTAAGAAGATATAATACCTTATTTTGTATTGAATGCATTTATGTTTTTAACCTGTTTTGGTTTTTATTAAACCATTTTGATCAAATGTATAAATCCATACTAATATTATAATTAATGTAAAATTTTGCGAGAATGGATGGAAGTTTTGTTACTCTTTCACGCCAGAACGGCAGAACAGATCTAACTTTGGCTTAGATATAGATTAAATTCTGAAAGAGCACATAGGTTACTTATTATCCCGAAATAATTTGCGGTTCCCGTGGGATAGATCTGTTAGTGTTTTACTAAAGGCGAACCCGAGCGAAGCGAAGGTGAGCCGCTAGTTAAATACATATATTAAACATACACAAATTTAAGTCATAAATCTTTTTTTAGGTTTAAAGAAGACCCCGAGTCGCCAGTGTCCGGTAACTCACCCGGTAAGTTTAACTTATCCCATTAAAAGTTTGGACGTTTGATGATGATGATGGATGTTTGTTACTTAATCACGTCAGAACGACTGAACGGGTTTGAATGAAATTTGGCACAGAGATAGATTATAATCTAGTAAAGCAAATAGACTACTTTTAACTCAGAAAAATGTACAGTTCCCGTGGGATAATATGTTTTTGTTTTTCAAAGAGCGAAGCGAGAGTGAGTTAGTAGGTATTAAAGATTTTGACCGTTAAGTATGACTTAAATATATTTTTTTGTTTTAAGAGTACATAAAAAGATATTTAATTGCGGCATATTGTTGGTGTATAAGGGGAAAACTAAAAGGTTTATAAAATATAGACTACACTCACATCTAACAAAATTTGCTGAAAGGGACCGTATATTAAAATAATAGCATACTTAAGCCACCTCGTCTATTGAAGTATTCATGCAGGCAGTGAAATTGCTGGTTTACAGTGTTTAGGCGCCTTTAGACACTACCCTGCTTATAATGTCCTCATATCGATTTTTAATTTCATTTCAATACATGGTTCAATTTAAAAATACTTGAGTGTAGGTGTTAGCACCTACTTAGGTAGAAAAGTCGTTCGATATGGTTTTGAAGAGTAAATTACAACTACATAATATATATTTTTTACTTTCTCTCCTATCTCGCTTGAAAATAAAAGAAAATTTTATAAATACTGTTTTCGAGCTTCGTTATTTAAGAGAAACGTAGACAAAATATCTAATACTATACTACTAATACTATACATCGAGTCCCGTGACAATATTATTATAGTAGAGACTAGCATTGCCCGCCGTCCAGGTGACCAAAAACCAAATTCTTAGGTTTTACATATTAGTATACCGTTACAATGCAGTTTTTGTTTTTTTCTCAGAAATGAGATATTTTCCCGCGGTAAAAAGTATCCCATATGTTGACCCGGATAACCAGCTATCATCATACCAAATTTCATCAAAATCTGTCCAGTGGTTTTCTCGTGATGCGGTAACAGACAGACAGACAGACAGACAAAAATTCTAAAATCTATAGAATCGGACTCTGTATCGATAATAATATCTATTTTAATTAGATTTTCCAAAAAAAAATTTTATGTACAGATTCGACTTAGTTACAATTTTATTATATGTATAGATCATTTCTTTTATATTTACATTAATTTTCTTATTGAAATACCCAAAAGTATTGTTATAAAATAATACTACACCGATCTTCGATGGCACCCGGCGAATAGACGCCGTTCTAAAGTTGGAAACTTAAAATGTGGGTCGTCTCTCGAAGTTCTTACTTTTGACAGCGACGAGCTGTTATGCAAATTAACAGCTGTCGATGTTATTTATATATATTTATACACTAGCATTGCGCGCGGCTCCGCCCGCGTTCAGATGAAAATCCCTCTAGTGGTTTTTCTGTGATGCGGTAACGGACAGACAAAAATTCTAAAAACTATAGAGTCGGCTTCTGTATCGATAATAATGTTTATTTCAATAAGATTTTCAAAAAAATATCTAACGTTATGCTTATTTACAATTTTTTCGGCTTATTTACAATTTTATTATATGTCGCTTTCCTTTATTAATTTGGTTTATTATTTTTTTCTGCAGGATAATAATAAAATTAAAAAAACTATCACAATTAAATTTTGTTTAGAAACCAATTTTAAATTAAAATGTACTACAAATTGTTCTATCGACAAGAACCAATTTAGCTTACGAGGCGACACTTTGTATGTAAAGCTTGATTAAATTATAGGCTAAAAGAAAATCAACTTTAATTAAAAAGTTGAGCCTTTGCGTTGTGACAGGGCCTTCCAGCTAGTGGCTTATTACTAGTTAGGTACAAGTAGAGTTTCTGCAAACAGAGATTTTTCATTGTAGTTTATTGATTCTGCTGAATAATAAATGTTTTCGCAGTAAACTACATCACTAATCCAAATGTAGGTCTCGGTCCCAATTATACTATCCAAATGGCGAGGTGACTCATTCGTTATTACGAGTATCTCAGACTTCAACCCTTTATCGCGAGATCGTGTTTGCGAGGTGACTAATAATTAATATAACGACACTGCTATTGTATCATTTTTCTAATATGCAATATAACAAGAACATTTAATATATAAAAGTAGCTAATAGATACATAAGCTGGTAGGCCGTGTTGCTTGTCCTCTCTCTTTCTCTAACACTTATTTAATGTCAATTGTGTCCTTTTTACGAGCTTTAATTTATCTTATTTATGTCACAATTAAATATAATTAATAATTTTAAAATAATTTTACATAAAGATTTAATTTTAGTTTTGTGTATAAAAGCTTTAAAATAAAGCTTTCTACTCTTGTTGTTCACTCGCAAAACCCTTATTGAAATTTATCCTACATTGAATATGCAGTACCTTAGGTGTCAAAAAGACATGTTATGTAAGCAGCTCTTTTACAAAACTAATATACGTACTATGTACATTTTTTATGAAATAATTTGAACAAATGAAGCAAAGTATTGGGGAAAAAGTTTTTTAAAAAAAAAAACACTTTTATAGTTAACTTCATTTGTTAACCGACTTCCATCGATGCAAAGCAAATCTAATTTATTTCGATACCTAAAATATATCACAAATTGATTTATAATATTTTAACTATAATTAGAGTTCATACCAAATCATATTTACCTAATAGATATACATATTTTAAAATATTGTCGGCTAGCACCGACTTTTAAAATATCTGATTAGGTATCTATTCTAAATGAAAACCCCCGTTTAGTTATTTTTTATATTTTAGTGCCTGGAAGTCGGTTTTTATTTATTTTCTTAAAAAGTTTTTTCAAATTAAAGCATGGGTGAAAAAGAGAAAAAACGCTTTTATTAACTATAATTTTATTTCCCATTGAACAAAATTATTTTTACCTGGTTCCTTAATTTTATTTTTAGTACACAATTAATTATTCTATTACTATCTAATTGATATTAGTAGCGTTACAGCTTACTATATATAACACCAGCTTTAGGAAACATCAGAGCGAGGCACTAAGGGATAGATACCTGTAATTCCTTAAAAAAATATTCATTTTAATAGATTTTACTTTTATTTATTTTTTCTTTAACTTGAATGTACCTATTTCTATTTATTCAGTTAGACGATTAATTATTATGTAAATACAAACAAAGACGAACTTTTATGACTTATTAGTTTTGCCTGTGTCTCTACTTGTTGTTTTCCGTCGAAAGTAAATGGTTGTTGACATTTTTTTTAAAAGAACTGAAATCCACAAAAATTATGTTAATTTTTAGGTAAAGGTAATACCTATCTTTTAGAAAAGTATTTACCTATTTTCACGTGCAGTATATAAATGTGCATTTTACCTTTAATAATTTTTTACGACAATATGGTACTTAATAAAAAAAATACGAGTAATTATATTTACTCCATCACAACGATGCAATCTTAATACTTCTTTTTCTCTAATTATTTATGTAGAATATATACATATATTTAGATAATAATATTTGTAATCAATCACACTTTATACCATATTTTCAGCCCTCACAACAGATTCACATGTATTATATATTTTACTCGACTATGATTATTAAGCGGCCATAACTTTGTGCGCGTAAAGATAAACGCGCAGCCTGTCTAGCTATCGAACTCGTAAGACTTAGTTTATAGCCAGCTAGATGTGTTCCGTGGATTTGTCTGCACGTATCTTGGAAATTATATACATACTTAAGTATATTATTGATACAAAACAAAGCAGCTATAAAAGTAAAAATGTCTTACAGGCGAAATATAAAAAAGTCAGTAAATAAATGACCCATTTACAAAATGAATGTAATTTCAAACTTTTAAAACTTTTAAATATTTTTTTGTGCCAGAAACCTTCGTAGGCGTATACAGAATGAGCTACCAGAGTTCAATTCAAATTGTATCAATGGTTTAGAATATTCTATTATAATTTGTAAAGAATCTGTTGTCTGATTAGGAGCGTCCAGTTATTGTTTCCAGACATTTTTACATGATAACTAATGTTAATAATTTTACATATATACATACCCACAATAATAATTATTGAATAAAATAATTAAGTAATAGTTTATCTGCAGCTAATTAATTATAGAAAAGTATTATGTAATAGAGCCATTGTTTCTTTTTTTAAATCCATATTAATATTATAAATGTGAAAGTGTGTTTGTTTGTTTGTTTGTTTGTTTGTTTGTTTGTTTGTTTGTTTGTTTGTTTGTTTGTTTGTTTGTTTGTTTGTTTCTTTGTTCGTTCGTTTGTTTGTTTGTTCGTTCGTTTATTTGTTTGTTTGTTTCGTTGTTTGGTTGTTTGTTTGTTTGTCCTTCTTTCACGTCGAAATGGATTGATGGATTGGCGTGATTTTTTGTGTGGAGATAGTTGGAGGGCTGAAGAGTGACATACTTGCATACTTTTTACCGGGGGAGATTATCTCATTCCCACGGGAAAACACATTATAATATACCTAACCCAAAAATTATTTATAATCAGAAATACTTAAAACTTGTAATAATGCTCTTCAATGCAATTAAATAAATACGTGTCTTAGCATTTTTCGAAATTCATCCCATAAGGGGGTAAAATTGGGGATGAAAGTTTGCATGAAATCTAGCTTTTTAGAGTTTTTTAACAGTTTTAGCGCGAGCGAAGACGCGGGTTCTGCTAGTATTCTACAAAAATAAATGTAATGAGCTTCTTTAAAGTTAGGAATAATAGTACAAATGCAACAAACACGAATATCGTTATTGCTTGCTTCACCCAGCGAGACCTAATATAATTTTTGCATAGAAATACTTGTGTGTGTCAAAGGGCTAGTTTTATCTCTAGTACTTTTGTCTCTAGTAATATTATATACTGCAAAAAATAAAACTAGAGGTGTTCAATATAAACTAGGTTTTGCCGTGGCTCCGTTCGCGTAGTTTATTTATTTGTCTCATCGTCGTAAATAGGCTTTAATTTTTTTTTAAATC